CCCCCACAGTCAACAAATGGAGTCCCCCCACAGTCAACAAATGGAGTCCCCCCACAGTCAACAAATGGAGTCCCCCCACAGTCAACAAATGGGGGTAATATCCTCAGGCAACAAATTCAGTCAACAAGGAGAGTCTCCCTTAGTCAACAAATTGAGCATTTTTAAGTCAACAATTTGAGAACCCTTGTCAATAAATGGAGTTATGTGTGACATGCGATGCTGATCTGCAGAAATCTGTTCTCAATGACAAGAGGCCCAATGGGCCTGCATCGCTCACCTGGTATAAATCACACACTTGTAACCTTAAAAGTGATCTAAAATAAAGCTACAGGCAAAATATCAGTATTTATCATTAAAATTCATTCAAAAGACCCTGTTAATTTTTTTAAAAACATTTCACCCCTGTGATTGAAAGTAGAACGAAGTCATTATGTTGAACAAATTTTATAGCCTTTCATCTCAGGATGCAACTTGCAAAGTATCAACATCCTGGGACTCATGGTTATTCAGAAGAGGTCGTTTAAAGATTTTAAACAAATTTGACCCCTGTGACCTTGAATATAAGTCAAAGTCATTCACTTTAACAAACATAGTAGTCCTTGATCCCAGCATGCTACTGACTAAATATCAACATCCTGAGCCTTTTGGTTATTCAGAACAAGTTGTTTAAATATTTTGAACATATTTGCTCCTTGTGACCTTGAATATGATTCAAGGTCATACATTTAAACAAACTTGGTAGCCCTTGATCCTAGTATGCTACTGACTAAATATCATCACCCTGGGCATTTTGGTTATTCAGAAGAAGTTGTTTAAAGTTTTTAACATATTTGACCCCTGTGACCTTGAATATGGGTGAAGGTCATTCATTTGAACAAACTTTGTAGCCCTTCATCTCAGCATGCTACTGGCCAAATATCATCACCCTTGGCGTTTTTGGTTATTCAGAAGAAGTTGTTCAAAGTTTTTAACATATTTGACCCCTGTGACCTTGAATATGGGTGAATGTCATTCATTTGAACAAACTTTGTAGCCTGTCATATCAGCATGCTCAACCACCCTGGGCATTTTGGTTATTCAGAAGAAGTTGTTTAAAGTTTTTAACATATTTAACCCCTGTGACCTTGAATATTGGTGAAGGTCATTTATTTGAACAAACTTTGTAGCCTTTCATATCAGCATGCTCAACCACCCTGGGCATTTTGGTTATTGAGAAGAAGTTGTTTAACATATTTTTAACATATTTAACCCCTGTGACCTTGAATATTGGTGAAGGTCATTCATTTGAACAAACTTAAACATGGCATAGGCTCACTTGGCACTTTGTGCCAGGTGAGCTAAAAATAAACTCAAAGAAAATCAACCATACAAAATAATTTATTGTGATACACAGCCAACAGAAGTATATACACAAAGTGTTGATAGATGATAAACAAGTCAGCAGCTTTAGTGGATCAGGCCACTTCCTGTATGATCACAATGGGAGCTGGGGACAAAAACATCCCTAGGTTTGGCACACCTGATGCAAACTTATATATAAAAGGCTTTACTTCAGCATATCATTTTGTCTTATTTTACAGTCAACTGTTTAATAAGCAGTTAAATAAAATTATAAGTGGCACCCTGTGGCAATATCTTTGTAGAATATTTATGAAATAGTTTTGCTCCTCACTATAAATGATCTAACCCTGCTTTACCCTTCACATTTAATGCTTCAAACTTAATTTATCAGCCACAATTTTGCAACTGTTTTGTGTTTAGTTTTACAAACACCAATATTAAATACTATGCATTAGAGAAGATTTGTCACCGACAGAGTAAATTATACATGTACCTTACATTGTAAAGTTGGTGTAAATATTTGTATTGTATTAAAAAAAAATATAGAACTGATAGGACAGAGTTAAGTCTGTTATCACGAGGGCAGATATAACATACACAGGACGGAGTTAAATCTGTTATCATTAGGGCAGATACATAACACGATATTTACACACTACATACTGGCAAACTCAACACACAGCTACCCCACCCCACCCCACCCAACCCCTGAATTTTCATCATTGACAGGATATATAATGGTGAATATACAAAATGAATGAAACACTGTCTGACTCAAATATATGAAAATGACACAATGATAAATATATAGTTACTGGACGGATCAAACTGTCTTATTACATTATATCATACAAAAATTAACATCTATTGACGAGGATTATGCTAATATATAAAGTGTATGTATGTAAATATGCCGGAGCTCAAAGAACCAACAGATTGTACCAATGACACACAAACACTACAAAGCTATATACATGTAGAAGTACAGACTTAGCACAGGAGAATATATGGCATGCTCAAAGAGCTATATATTATGGCATGCTACAAAAAAACATCACAAAAATGTTTACAAAACAACAAATAAAAATAAATGCTTAAAAATTTGAATGCTACAAGATCAATCAAGGCACATATCATTATTGGTGGTACTGTATAAACTTGTATGTCCAAATTGCTTCAAGGAAATAGGACAACTTGATATAATATCTCTTAAAATATATAGTCAAGTTCATTTCCAGTCAACAATAATAAAGCAAAAAATCAAGACATGATGTAAAATGTGTCTGAAAACAAATCCTCCTTGGCCTACTCTACAACTTATATTACACTTCATGTACAATGCAGCTTCTCTCTTCATTACATCTCAACATCCAAAGCTGCTTTCTGGCTTTTATCACAGTTTGTGTAGCCTCATTCTGGGTTACATCATAGTCTTCATAGCCTCTCTTTGGGTTAAAGCCTCTCCCTGACTTATATCACAGTTGATGTAGCCTCTCTCTGGGCTACATGTTAGTACACACAGTCTATCTTAGGGTTGTATCACAGTGCAGCTCTTCTTTCTTTACGGTCAAGTAATTACATCAGCAGTAGTAGGTACTACATATAAAATCAATCACAGTCTAATCACACATGGAATGTTAGGTATCAAGGGTAGAATAAAATGACACAATTAAGTGATATACACTGTATCAAAATAGTTAACATATTTTTCAAAGTTATCAGCAGTATATGTTTCATAGTTTTGTTAAAAACAAGAAAATCAAGACTGTCAGCAGTATACATAGAAACATAAAAGGTCTTCCAGCCCCTGTATCAAGGCTGGTAGGGTGGTACACACATTAGTCATCCAGCTGACACAGGCCAGCTACACCACGATTGATCCAATGATCTGGCTCCTTGTCTGACAACAGCTCTATAAACATGACAAAGTTGGTGGAGTGTCCAGTGGTGGATAGTACACCTCGCCTGGCACTCGTCTTGTACACAGGACATGAGTAAGTCTTGTTCTTGGCAAACTGGTCCATACGTTTGGGTTTCAGCCAGATCTGAAAGTTTTGGTTAAAGAAAATACATTTTGTTTTCAGCAGCTTTCTTACAACCTTACCATTTAAATTCTGATCATGAGAATCAGCACTCTTCTTTTTTAGGACCTATGGCGCCACCACTGTAATACTTAACTTTCCTTTTTTAGGACCTATGGCGCCACCACTGTAATACTTAACTTTCCTTTACCTAATTTGTTTCTTTCCTAGCTGTTAAAGGTGAATCTTACCAGTGTCATATGATTGCTGTTAATCTCCCAACAAAGTCTAGAGCTGATATGAATATAGAGAAAATGTAAATTTTACGTAATAGCTATATTCAGCGACACCTAGGAGAAAGTCTGGTTTCCAGTGGACACAGGTTCACAGTTGAAAGGTTAACTGTAAATAATTAAATGACGCAGGATGTCATTAAAATTTGTTTGATTTCAAAAGGATACCACTGGCATTGTGTCGAAAAGGATCTTTGGTAGGGATTCTCCTAATACCATCTTGTCTCGATCCCAACGACTTCCTTCTAAGAACAAACCCTGCAATTGAAGATAAACAAAATCTTTAATTCAACAATCTTTTCTATGCATAGGTCACTTTAATTAACATCTTGTTTATCTTTCTGGATTAAAAACATCAGAGAAACTAAGGTTTAGAAATAATAGATTATGTCATGTAGCCTTACATAAACAAAAGCTCCATTCTCAGGTTTTTCAGTCATTTCCTTCTCTTCCTTCGTCACTTCAAACTCAAAACCAACAGCATCAATAGGAATGGTGTATTTCCTTGCATAGTTCTGGGACACACCTACGACAGAAAGCAGCCAGTATTAAAGTCTGTAAAATCATGGACAGGGCTACAGTTGACAGAGACTAGCCAGTGTTAGTTCAATATAAGTCTGTGTAAAATCATAAAACAGTTTTCTGATTTATAGACACTAAAAGTCATATACCTGTGAGGAAGGACTGAGTGAAGTAGAAACCAGAAAGCCAGAATGTTGCAGGAATACCCTCTTGTATCCAGTCATTGAAAAATTTCAATCTGTAGGAAGAAAATCACAGGGTATTAAAATTACATAGTACTACATATCATACATAATCTACAAACTTCTAAATGTTCCTATGTAGTATGGTGATGATGATTATTATTCTGTACCTGGCCAGAAGGTCGTTGATGTAACTACCCAAGGGTTTCAGTGATGGGTAGGACTTGGAGGCCCACACTGTTGGTACCTTGCCGTTGAGCATACTCTGGAACACCTCCTCCAGTTCTGAGGACATGAGCACCAATCCCTTAATGGCTTTCTGTAGATTGATCAGCGAGATGCGTACCACCTTCGTCAGACGATTGAAGCGGATGAGCTCCTGTCTCAGTACAGTGTTCATTGACTCGTCGTACACAACAGGATACTTTTTAATCACCTGTAGGACAGAGAAGCATACTTTACAATAGCCTACTTGTACATGTTTATAAACTTTCTAAACTCTGTCAATACACTTGTCACTATGGCTTCAAAGACTCCAGCAAGAAAAGTTTCATTTTAATACGTTAAGAGAGATAATGTTAAAATGATATTTGTTCTCTGAAGAAAATACTGCATAATTCATTCGGTTCACTTACAAATTCTAAGTCAAAATCTGGGGGCAACTTGCTGAGGATATCAACCGATAGTTCCTGGATGACTGAGCCGGTGGATTTACCTCCCTTGCTTTGCTGTCTTGGCAGAGTAAGCAAGATGTTGTCAAATAACTGAAAGAAAGAAAAACAGAACGTGAAAAGGAAACAAAAGAAACAAGATTGCTTTGCAGCCAATAATCACATTTTTTAAATGAAATTGCTAAAAGGAATAGTTGATTTCCAGGTTTTTCAAAATAAATGGAAAGGAAGCAATGCCTGTCAAAGTTTATAAATGCCTACCAGTTGAGTTTCCTGGTTGTCCTTGCTGATGTCTGCGTTCTCATGCAGCCCAAATACCTCAGGATTAGGGTTAATGGGCAGGGTCCTAATGTAATCAATGTAGGTCTGATGTTCACCTTCCTCTGGGGCAAAGTACAGTCCACTCGGGGAAAACCTACAACACAATCTCACCTTGTATAACACTGTCAACTTTTGCTTTACAAGCTAGGATGGTAAAATCACCTGTACTGTATTTAAATCTATCAATCCCAAGTGTCTTTCAGACAGAGAAACAGGATATTAAACCAAAGAAATCCAACAGAATATCAGAACATGTATTAGTAAACCACTCTGTATTAGTAAACCACTCTGCATTAGTAAACCACTTTGCATTTTGCCTATGTTGGATCTTTCGTATCAATCTTTCATCAGCACAACAAAGGCATCAGAGTACAACATATGTTTGATCCAAATTCTCTGACTGTTCACTTTGGCATCACACCTCGCATACATGTATAGTTTGTTATTTTTCAAATTCCATGAAATATAAATGCTACTTTTGTATGAGAACTGATAAGTCCAACAAACAAGACATCTTTACAATACAATAGCCATGATAATAACCAGGGATGCTACAGCAATAAAGCATTAACAGGACCAGGCTAGTATTGAGCTGGAAACCAATTTCCTTGCGAGGACAATAAAGTAACCACATACTTGTAGTCCTTGTTGGTAATTATTTGCTCTGTGAAGAAGATGGAGAGGATGGAGACGAGTAGTCGTCGGTCCTTGTCATCAGTTACACGGCCGCCGTAGTTACATTGACCAGTCAGATATGTAAGAGCAGGCAGGGGCAGCTCCTCGTAATCATTCAGGAACATCTAAAACAACACCACTCAACATCATATACCAACCTCATATAGGCTACTAAATAACATCTGAAACAACACCACTCAACATTATATACCAACCTCATATAGGCTACTTACTAACATCTAAAACACCACCACTCAACATCATATACCAACCTCATATAGGCTACTAAATAACATCTAAAAGTTTAGAGTTACAACTGTTTACAACAAACATGTTGAAACCTCAAATATCTCCAAACATTTGGTGTTATTTCGTAATACTTCATTGAAATCTACTGCCAGTCATTTTTTAAGTTTTTGGTAGACATCTACGAAATTTTTTAATTTTCAAAACTTCATCCAACACATATGAAGTTCAACAGTTAGGACACACAAGTGTTCTGAATTAGTGAAACTAAACATGTTACCAAAAAGTTTTCAAGATTAACTTAGTCAGTTTAATGAATTTCTATGTACAAAACTTACAAATTAATTTTTTATCTTTTGAAACTTTTGACCTTCTACAGCTTTGGTTTTATAGTGGGATATATAGCCTCACTGGACAGTCCACGTTCTCTCACAACAATTACAACCCATTATCTTAACCCAATAGCCATCTTTTCTGGGAATGTTCAGTTTACAGCTACATCTTACTAAAAAAACATACCAACATCTGCCTGAGACTGATACGGAGATCAGATTCCTTGAATTCATATGGAATATTCCATCCAAGGGGACCAAACTTTCTGCGCTCCTGTACCATGGCATGGAAGAATGACAGCCCGAACAACATCTTGTGGAATTTTACAGGCTGTAATCAACAACAACAGGTGAGTAAATACAGAATCAAATTTTAACAAATCTACTTACCCTTTAACTATTTGTTTATATCTATATATCTAGTGAGTTCTAATCAACAATCAGTGAATTATACATAATTTTATCATATGATACAGTCACTATATCTATGTCAATCTCTACAAAATTTCTATCAAATCCCACCATTGTATCATTTATCTAAAAATAACAAAATGAAAAAGAAAGTGAAACTGCCAGATTGGATACCAACCTTATTACAACCATCAAAGAAGGTGGCGTCGGATATGGGATCATTGAGGTAGGACCGCAGAAGATTGGCTCTCAGTCCCTTGGGAGGCTCATTGGTCATCTTCACACCTACAAGGTAAAACAAGAAAGTGTACCTGGATGGTACCTGGATAGTATACATCAGACAATGATGTAATACGGAGGTGTTTATTTACTAAGCTTTACATCAGACAATGGTGTAATACGGAGGTGTTTATTTACTAAGCTTTACATCAGACAATGGTGTAATACGGAGGTGTTTATTTACTAAGCTTTACATCAGACAATGGTGTAATACGGAGGTGTTTATTTACTAAGCTTTACATCAGACAATGGTGTAATACGGAGGTGTTTATTTACTAAGCTTTACATCAGACAATGGTGTAATACGGAGGTGTTTATTTACTAACACATCAGAGCTTTGTAGAAGATGACCTACCGTTCTGTAGGATAGATACAGGGAACTCATCGGATGGGTAGCTGGTCAGCCATAGACGGAAATCCTTGTTTGTCTCCTCTGGTATAATCACCTGAAAAGTTTATATAATACATTTTACAGATGACTTCATGATAAGTGAAATACAAATCACTTAGATCAGCAGAAATGTTGTTTAAAGTCTCACTTTCTAAACCAGATATTGTATTAGAAGTTTTCTGTTCACTTTTAGTTTACACTGTTACCCCCAAAAAACAATCCCTCACTGAAGATACCAGGTACCACATCAAAGTGCTGATCAGGCTGAAGAATTGTGGACCCATGTATCCACACCTTTACCCCCGGTTGTTGTAAGTTGGTCAATGTCATTCTTTGAAGATTTTTGATTTTATGCTTCGTTAGTGTTTTTTGATAGTGAAGCTTATTTTGGGGTAAACCCTACTCTAGATTCTGAAACGAAGTATGTTTGAACATTTTCTTTCTTAAATTATCAAGGCACATCAATGTTTCCTTTTTTAGTTGCGCAGTAAAAACTTCTAATTAAATTTCCAGACCTGTGCAGACAACCCTTTCCCTAACTTACCTCCTCACAGATCTTCTCCAGCTTGGGCATCCAACTGGTGGCCAGATGGCAGTTCTGTAGTACCACCCACGACCCATTCTTTATTGCTGCATCAATCATACCTGCTGCTATTGGACCCTAAAACAAGTAGATATATACGGTTGAAGGTTGTGTGTATTTACTCCAGTGAGAAGCTTATTGTATCATTTGAATGATTAACGTCTCATGAGATATGTATTTTTCCAGTATTTTGTGAAAAGAGTCCTCCACAAAATCAAACATATTTTAAATATTTTCCTTAAAACATTCAAACAGGGAATATATTTTTGTGATTATGAATATCAAGATGATTTCTAACATGGTAACAGGTACAATAGTTGACATGTATGACCATTCAACAATGTATCAATCACCGACACGTTTAGAAGTTATTTCCTTAGCCCCCTTACCTGGCCCTGACCAAGGGAAATCGTCTGGATGGTACCAGCTGCTGTAGAGTAGCCTTTACTCTCACCAAACTTGAGCAGTGCCATCATGGGATCAGCTCCTGGTGATAACACAAAGATCAGAGGTGCACAACAATTTGAGTCTCTGAATGACCCTGCCAGGTCAAAGGTTGGAGGTTCAATGTAAGACTGGCCCAGATTTTCCACAATGAAATTCTGTACAGCGGGAATGATCTTGTCGGGCCTCAGACATCTTAACACCACCATTTTTAACATGCCTCTAAGGGTGTCGTAGGGACTTGGGTACTTGTGGTTCTGTGGGGTTGGGGAGTCATACATCTTTTTCCATTCTCCAATGTTATCTCTCACATCTGTAAAGAAATCACAATTAATCTTCTTAGGATGCCAAGCAATGATTTATGTAGAAAATGAAAGATTAAAAAGTGCTAGTTGCCCTATTATGATATATATTGAAACGACATGAACAAACTTTGACCATGTCTGTGAGACATTGCTGCTTCTGCAAGATGAACTACTTTCGTCCATTAATATTAGGTGTATGTGGTACCCTGAAATCAAACTAGTTTCAGGCGTTTTTGCACTGAAAAATATAAGTTTCTTAAACTCGCAAACAAAAAGATACCAGTGGCGTGAAGACAAAGAATTTCTGTTTATAGTAAACGCCAACTTGATGTTGGATTAACAACCCTGAAATACAAAATGAGACATTCTGTGTAGTGAATACATTTGTACTTACAGTTTTATTACAATAAAATGAAATGCGAGGTGATAGAGCAATGGAGCAGAAGTGTGATACACATAAGAACAGGACCACACAAAACCAAGTAAAGAAAAGCCAACAATGATTCTGATACAGAGTACAAATCACCTACCACACAAATCATACATATACGTACCACTATTTAGAATTAGTTCAAACATGTAATAAATCAGGAATCTAAGATGTACAGTATCACATCATTACTACAGCTAAAACAGTGAACATGTATATCCACACTACCACACTGTCACTGTTGATCAAGCCTTGTCATCATATCAGTATTTTATCATTAGAAGCCACAGTGACACACTTACGTTGGAAGAGGCCTTTCATGTTAGGTAATTTACTAGCCCGGACAAGCTCTCCCCACGATTTTTCTCCAAGCCACTCTGGGGCTGGGTTAGGATGTGGGTTCTCCAAGGCCACTCCTCCGGTCAAAAGGAAACGCCACACATCCTCATCCACCCTACCTCTGTAAGTGAAGACAATTTACACAATGAAGTCAAGTCCAATAACACAAATTGTAATAATAAAATATTTCGGGGATGAAGGGTATGCTTCTAACTTAAAAGAAGCAATTAAAAATCTCACACAAGCAAACAAATTAAAGAAATAACATTGATATTTACAATGTAAGCAAATTTATATATAATCCCAAAAATAATGAAAATGAAGCATTTGCAAAATTTAAGTGTTTAATGGTGGCTCCTAGTAACTTTCATTAACCATCCATCTCCCTTTAAATAAACTATTTATTATTCATTTAAATGAAGAAAAGACCACTTCAAAATCATCTGGAGTACTCATGAATACCTTACTAAACACTACAATGTGAAGTGAGAATTCTGTACGAAACAAGAATATTTTTAGATCTTTCAAAAGTTTTGTTTCAGGTCCTTGCACTTTTCATTGACAACACTGATTGATCTATAAACTAATTATTTTTTTATACAAAGTTTTCTCATTTTAAAACATTTCCTAGAGTTAACTTTGTGTTGTTGATAAAACTGATATTAAAAGGATATATGAAAGAATGATTTTTTTTCTCATTACACCATGAGTGACAAGGTAGCATGTATTTTAAAAGAAACTAAATTTGTTGTCATGAATGCTGACCTTTGACCTTTGGATACCCAAAACAACTACATATCAAGGAATTTCCCATACGAAATTGTGGAGGCCACACAAAGCTGATGTATCTATCTAATACGACAAGACACATATTATATTCTGATGTAACAAAACCACAATATAGCATTAAGGATCCCTGTCCCACTGCACTGGGGTTTCCCCCTCCGTTGTACAGTAACCACCCCTTAATTTTGTTTTGAATATAACTGTAACACAGCTGGGCAAGAACACTTCCGTTGACCAGGTATGTCCAATTTATTTTTTATGTTTTCATAAAAGTCCTGAAAGGAAAGTTTTCTTTTCAGAAAAGATTTATCAAAGCTATAGCCATGCTGAAAAAAAAACCAGTTTCCAAAGTGAAGTTATAGTTTTTGGCAGTGGTACAAGGATCCTTTAATTTTAGGAATAGTTAAAATAAAATTGAAATAAATATGTTTTTACATTACATGAATATTTCTTGCATATATCGAAGCAGTGAGTACATTGTACATTGGCACTATAAGCAAAAGTTAATACTCAATTCTATTAGGTTTCTGTACAGTAAATACAGAATATCTACAGCACTTTTTACTGAGTATACAGTAAATACAGAATATCTACAGCACTTTTTACTGAGTATACAGTAAATACAAAATATCTACAGCACTTTTTACTGAGTATACAGTAAATACAGAATATCTGCAGCACTTTTTACTGAGTTTACAGTAAATAAATACAGAATATCTACAGCACTTTTTACTGAGTATACAGTAAATACAAAATATCTACAGCACTTTTTACTGAGTTTACAATAAATACAGAATATCTACAGCACCTTTTACTGAGTACAATGAATAAATATTTAAACCAAGTGATCAATTTAATAAAGCTATAACATTGTTGCTAGTACTGAAATGCCCTCTGCACTATATCTAGAGTAAGCCAGTAAGTGCCATTAGTACCAGTAGTTTGGTACCAGGTCATATGACCTTGATCACCATATACAAGGTCAAACAACCTTTAGTAATTGTTACATTAGATCACCTAAATGAAAGGTGATATCTTATCAATGGTAACATTACCTTTTTTTCCCCTATACCATATAGTTGTTAATTTTTGCAGGTATAAAATTCGCAAATTTGCAACCATGCCTTGTGAGGTTTTATATGAACCTTTTAAATTTAATTTCAGAATAACCAACGACTAAACAGCCTCTGCTAACTGTTACTTCTGTTTCCTGTAAAACAAATCTGATGTTTCATTGCTAGCCTGCCTTGTATGTTTGATGGACTTTTATAATGGTACGATGTGATAGATTTCACCACTAACAAGTCTAACTATCACATTATTGTAGCTACACAACAACTATCTGATACCTCTGCAGTCTGTGTCACATATAACTTGCTCTCTCAGGGTTGAGATTGTGAACAACATATTAACACAATTCTATTACATTTACTCTGCCCATAAAGCAGTGCCTGGACAAATCAAAGATCTCAAATTTAAATCAAATTTGAAAATATTCTGCTTTTGACAATTATTACATAAAAAATAAATTTTCCTCAATGCCAGTAACATACACTAGGTATACACTACCTACTGCTGACACGTAGTACAGGAACATACACTAGGTATATACTACCTACTGCTGACACGTAGTACAGGAACATACACTAGGTATATATTACCTACTGCTGACACGTAGTACAGGAACATACACTAGGTATACACTACCTACTGCTGACACGTAGTACAGGAACATACACTAGGTATACACTACCTACTGCTGACACGTAGTACAGGAACATACACTAGGTATACACTACCTACTGCTGACACGTAGTACAGGAACATACACTAGGTATACACTACCTACTGCTGACACGTAGTACAGGAACATACACTAGGTATACACTACCTACTGCTGACACGTAGTACAGGAACATACACTAGGTATACACTACCTACTGCTGACACGTAGTACAGGAACATACACTAGGTATACACTACCTACTGCTGACACGTAGTACAGGAACATACACTAGGTATACACTACCTACTGCTGACACGTAGTACAGGAACATACACTAGGTATACACTACCTACTGCTGACACGTAGTACAGGAACATACACTAGGTATACACTACCTACTGCTGACACGTAGTACAGGAACATACACTAGGTATACACTACCTACTGCTGACACGTAGTACAGGAACATACACTAGGTATACACTACCTACTGCTGACACGTAGTACAGGAACATACACTAGGTATACACTACCTACTGCTGACACGTAGTACAGGAACATACACTAGGTATACACTACCTACTGCTGACACGTAGTACAGGAACATACACTAGGTATACACTACCTACTGCTGACACGTAGTACAGGAACATACACTAGGTATACACTACCTACTGCTGACACGTAGTACAGGAACATACACTAGGTATACACTACCTACTGCTGACACGTAGTACAGGAACATACACTAGGTATACACTACCTACTGCTGACACGTAGTACAGGAACATACACTAGGTATACACTACCTACTGCTGACACGTAGTACAGGAACATACACTAGGTATACACTACCTACTGCTGACACGTAGTACAGGAACATACACTAGGTATACACTACCTACTGCTGACACGTAGTACAGGAACATACACTAGGTATACACTACCTACTGCTGACACGTAGTACAGGAACATACACTAGGTATACACTACCTACTGCTGACACGTAGTACAGGAACATACACTAGGTATACACTACCTACTGCTGACACGTAGTACAGGAACATACACTAGGTATACACTACCTACTGCTGACACGTAGTACAGGAACATACACTAGGTATACACTACCTACTGCTGACACGTAGTACAGGAACATACACTAGGTATACACTACCTACTGCTGACACGTAGTACAGGAACATACACTAGGTATACACTACCTACTGCTGACACGTAGTACAGGAACATACACTAGGTATACACTACCTACTGCTGACACGTAGTACAGGAACATACACTAGGTATACACTACCTACTGCTGACACGTAGTACAGGAACATACACTAGGTATACACTACCTACTGCTGACACGTAGTACAGGAACATACACTAGGTATACACTACCTACTGCTGACACGTAGTACAGGAACATACACTAGGTATACACTACCTACTGCTGACACGTAGTACAGGAACATACACTAGGTATATACTACCTACTGCTGACACGTAGTACAGGAACATACACTAGGTATATACTACCTACTGCTGACACGTAGTACAGGGACATACACTAGGTATATACTACCTACTGCTGACACGTAGTACAGGGACATACACTAGGTATACACTACCTACTGCTGACACGTAGTACAGGGACATACACTAGGTATACACTACACTAGGTTTATTCTAGCATGCTAACACTATCATCTCATTGCAATATAAACAGGTAGTAATTTTGTTAATTGTTTCAGTATTTTAAATTGTAAAATAAAATATAAAAAAATAATGAAATTGATGAGATGAACATTGAATATAACTGTCAGTTTAATACCATCTATTATATCGTAGACTTGTTCATGCAATGAGATATTTTGTAGTCTCTAAATAAAGTGTTTTCTCTTTAAAGACAGAATATAAGTCATTACAGTATAGGCAACTCCGTGAATAATATCCTCAACCAAATACTGTTCACTAATCACCACAGACGGGCGCTATTGCCTTACAAGCAAAATGGCTGAATATTTGATTCTGAAATTTTTCTCTGAGAAAAATCAAAAGTTTCTATTACACTAAAATTCTTAAAAAAGGCTGAATTCATCCAAAAGGCTAAAAAGTGACATCTCTGATAAAGTGACACTGTGACATCAGTTTATTGCCGTATTTCAACATGATATTTGATTGATGATATCAGGAGTTGCAGCTTGCAGAGTTGAGCTAATTACAAGTATCTATATACACAGATAATTCTTACACTCGGGCATTAAACCTGAAACAGGTGCATCAACAGCAAATGATCATGTGGATAGTAATTACATTATTTGACTTCACTTAGTAACAATCATTTAAATCGAATACTTTTGACAAATAAAACATTGCAATCAAAATTTGAAGCATCATCTTTCTAACAATTATGTGAACACACAGATAGTTACTTACAACAAACATGGGATACTTGACAAATATTTTCTGTGTAACACTGACGAGAATTACAGAGGCTAGAGAGTACCGGGGAGTAGCACCAGTACAATACTTACTGGCCCTTCATGATGCCCACACAAAGTACAAAGGAGAACAGCAGTTTGTCCTTCTCAAACAGGGAGCGACACACATTGCGGTAAATACTGTTGGTAAAGTGGTCATTCAGGTTGAAGATTCGCTCGTCTAGCTCATTGGAAGGTGAACTGTTTAAAATAGACTGAAACGAAGCAAATGAAGAACAATTCAATAGATGTTGTTTCATGCTAGCAGTTCTACTTTATCTGTACTATTTCATACCTAGCACAACTTTCTAAATAATTCACCAAAAACAATAGATATCTACAATGTGTACAACAAGGATGTATTTGGAACCTTTCTTTAAAATCTTGCAACAATTAGGTCAGCTGTGTAAGTTTTAAATTCAGCTACTGGAAATAAATCATTTGAACATCTTACCAGTTGTAAAAGAAAGCTTTTGGTGAAGCAGAATGTAAAAAAATATGTACTATATCGGCAAAAAATTAAGCCAACAAAAAGTGATGGATTTGATGGCGGATGGTATTCACCTGTAGGTAAAGATTGATGAACCATGTAAGTGAGTACTGGTACATAGGCTCAATGTTGGCAAGGTCAGATATACAGAAGAACAGGATGGACGAGTGCACAGCTACAGGCTTGTAACCATTCCTGGTCTGATCTATCTCCAGTTCTGTCTTGGCTGCTATTTCCTGCTTGGCTGAGATCTCTTCTGACAAAACTTTGGATGAAGATAGAACTTTAATGGCCGTCTCATCCTCCAGAATGTTCCCCTACAAAAGACATACCGAACTATAATGCAGGTACAGTGTGTTTTCTCGTGTAATGTAAAAAAAAAAAATAATATGTTTCTTCTGCCTTCTTTTTCATTTCCATATCATATTAAGTACTTACTTACCTTGTTATCTACTAAAAACTGAAAAAAGGAGTGGATCATATCTTGAAACTATCTTCAAACTTTCCTGAAATGGTCAACTTTCCTATTTCACAGAACTGTGTATGTACCTGTGATGATGATAGGACCTCCAGAATCTTGTCTTCAATCTCCTTGAGTTGCTTCTTGTTTTGGGCACTCTCAAGGATAAGAACGTTTTTCTTTTCCTCTAGCTGTGGTTTCTCCTTGGCTGCCACAATACCCAGAAGCTGGTCCTCCAGTCCTTGTGGTGTGATCATGAAGTTTACCAGACACACCTGTAACACAAAAGGGCACTTTAATGTTACACCAATCCTGTCACCGGTAAGAAAACTTCAAGGAGGAAGTGACTTCACACCTTTACCCACACCTCAGTGAGGTAGTGGCATCTCAACTTTACTGACACCTCAAGGCGGTAGTGGTGTCGTACCTTTACCGACACCTCAGGGAGGTAATGACTTCTCAATTTTACTGACACCTCAGGGAGGTAGTGGCATCTTATTTTTACCGACACCTCAGGGAGTTAGTGACTTCTCACCTTTACCCACACCTCAATGAGGTAGTGGCATCTCAACTTTACTGACACCTCAAGGAGGTAGTGGTGTCGTACCTTTACTGACACCTCAGGGAGTTAGTGACTTCTCACCTTAACCCACACCTCAGTGAGGTAGTGACATCTCAACTTTACTGACACCTCAAGGAGGTAGTGAATTCTCACCTTTACCCACAGCTCAAGGAGGTAGCGGCATCTCACCATTACCGACACCTCAGGGAGGTAGTGAGTCACACCATTTACCAGCACTTCAGGGAGGAGGTGACTAAAATGTTTATTAGCAAATCTACTGGTTAAAGAAGGTAGTGATGTCTTACCTTAACGGACACCTCAGGAAGGTAGTGTGGGTTCCTCAGTCTAGAAGTGATGTAGAGCTTGAAGTCTTGTGAGTATTCTATAACACTGTCTCCTAGACGTATGTACTCTACACCTTGTTGTTTAAATGTCAGTTTCTGTAAAATGGAATCTAGGATTGGGTCAAGCTCCTCTGCAACATTCTCCAGTAGGACTGGTGTACCAAATTGGATAGCATTCTCCAGGGTTCTCAGATAGTTGGTGTCAGACAGTTTGATGATTCCCAGTTTATTGTCCTTCTCCATTGCTTTCACCCATTTGTTGGCCTGACCTATTACAGGAAAATATTTTGATTTTAAAAGTAATGCCTATCAAACATATTCTAACATGGTAGTACTCAATACAGTTTACCAAATATCCAGTATTGATCTTTGATTTTCTAACTTTTCAGGTGGAAATTTAACAGTAATCTAAATCTAACACCAAAAGAAAACCAGATTTACCTTGAGGATCAATCAGCAGAGGCCACCTGCGGGAGTTGCTCACCACGATACCATTGTCAACACTGAAGGAGTCCACTGGAAGACCAGCAATGTTCCATGCTCGAATCTTCACTGGGTCACCTAATATAGCATTCAGCGAGAAAATCTCTGAGCAAGGAATTTCGTTAGTCTTTGAAGCATTATGCCAGTCTTTGATGATTTCCTGAAATTTCAAATGAAAGTCATTGTAGAAGGAAAATCACAGTAATACCTTTAACTAGACTCACTTTCTGAGCTTAACAGAAACAATATCAGCTAATAGACACAAATTTTAGGATGTTATAGCGATCTTTTGTCATACTCTAAAGTCAGTTAAGGTATAACATATCAGTTTTCCCTAATTAACAAACAAACAGTAGCTTACATTCCTGAATGAGACTGTGAAGGCTCCAAGATAGGCTACCACACCGGAGGACAACAACACATCACCAGTGATGTTGATGAACTTCTCGCCCAGCAGACGAGCAGCCTCGGTCCATCTTTCTTTCTCTCCTCCAAGACCACCGATAAGTTTCTCTGCACGATCAAGCTTCTTTTCACAAATGTCAATATTTGCCTCCAAGTCCTTTTTCTTCTGCGTCATCTCCTCAAACTCATCGTTGAGAGCCTGCAGTTTGTCTGTCACCTGAAAGTTATCAAAATGGTACAATTTAGTTTAGAAACAAATTAGTGCAACAATATATTTATATTGCATTTGAAACACAGCTATTTAATAATATGAATGTGTTGACACTGCAAAGGAAGAAACTTGAATAAAAACCAAACAGTACCTGTTTGAGTTGTGCACGTTTCTCGTTGAGTTTGTCCATCTGAATGGCCAGCTCTGTCTCTGCACCTTGTAGCTTGATCTTCTTTGGAGCAACCACTTTAGCCACTCTATCATATATGTCCATGGCCTTCACCCACCTACACAGCCCTTCACAGGCAGTGGAAGCGTTCTTAATGAGGTTAGGGTCAAATTCCGGGTTGGTCATATACCTAAACAATAACAATGAGATCGGTCATATATCGATCTACACAATGACAATAAGATTGGAAATATACTTACAAAATAACAAGTACAACTCAGATTGGTCATGAAATTACACAAGAACAAAAGTCAAATTCATGATAATATTCTTCTTAATCATGAACATGCTATTGCAAGTTATCAAAAATATTCATGAAAACACCTGGCTGCTAATTATGTTTCATAAAAAGAAACATAATTCTACATGTGTATGTTACTAGTTCATAGAATATTGCTGCTTACTTTTCTCTGATCTTCTTGATAACAGCAGGAGGTATGTTGTCCTTGTCGTAAGTTTTAAGCCTGTCCAGGAACTTGAAGTCACTAAGAACCTTTTGAGAAGGTCCCCAGTAGTCCTCTACCATTTTACCTGAGCCACTTGGGTCAGGCTTTCTCTCAGACTTCATACCAAGCATCACACAAATAGATTCCATCACCAACTTCACGGCAGGTGGTGGATTCTGTCAAACACAAAATATAAATTTGAAATTAACTTGAATAAGTTGTTTACTTAACTGATAGTTTACTTGAGTAATTTTGAAAGGGAGCAGGTATCTTTAGATGCTAACATTTTTAAGCAGACCTGATAATTCCCTGCATCATCATAACTATCAATACTGACATGGCATAATGTTTAATATACAAGTCTTTAGCTATTGATATAGATATGTGACATAAAAATTAATGATACATTATTTAGACATACTTAGCATAATTATAGGCAAATCATTATTAACTTGATAACAAATTTAAACAGCTATATATGTACAGCAGTGAGCATGGCAGGAACAAGAAATAGATTTGTGGCTATACCTTCATGGACTTGACAAGTGTGATGTCGGCAGGTTTGAGTGTGTTGAGAGCAGAGATGGCAGCCTCCAGAGCAGGGATAGCCTCGGCTAGCTCACTCTCACACTCGTCCTTGATGGCCTGGGCAGCTGCAGCAGCCTCGTTAGCTACAGCCTCATCAGCAGCTACCACCTACAATGTTCATAGAATTCCTTTCCTCAATTTCAAGATAATATTATTCTGCTTTTGATTACATATTATGACACTTAAACGTTCCTATGTTTTTATAACATTTAAGAATTTTGGATTTTGGATTTTAGCTAGAACTTGGGAGATTTCAGTCAATTAGCAGTCTTGATCATACCTCTTTCTTGGCCTCCACTTCAACTGTATCTTGTTCAATTTTTATCATCAATTTTTCTGTCTCTGCTGATGTTTTGATGAGTTCTGGCTGAAGTTCCCGAAGTTCTTGTTGCATCACAGATACCTGTGAGGCTGCAAAGTCCAGTTTTTCCAAACCAACAAGGTAGCGGTTACGAAGAGTACTGATCTCATCACGCTTCAGACCCAGCAGAGATTTAAATGTCATGATAAGCTCCAGATAGGATGTAGGGGTCACATAGTTATGTCTCCTCAACTGCTCAAAGAACCTGAAATGGGAAAAAAACAATTCATATAAAGATCATTTTCAAACAAAATGTATCATTCAAGCTTTTTTTTTCTAGTGCAATGATACAAACTGAAATAAACTATTGATTTTGACAGAATTTAATACATTGTAGACAGATAAAAAACAATGTTTGTAACCACGACATGGAGTTTGATGAACCCATATTTTCAGATGAAACTGAACCCATGTTTATAAACTAATGAACAAAGTATTTAATGCCTGTTGATATCATGGAATACAAACTGATATTGTCTTATGTGAGTGTCTAAGAGGTTATCATAGGACTAGTTCTGTATCCTGCTTGTCACTGACCTGAGACCACGGTCCACAGATAGTATAGCAAGTGACACAGGGGCAGGTAACTCCTGTGTCACTTGCTATACTATCTGTGGACCTTAAGCTTGGTCCTGTATTTTTCAAGAGTTACCTGTCCTTGTGTTACTTGCTATTTGTCAGGAGTGACCTACCCTTGCGGTACTTGCTATATACTATCTGTGGACCATGGTCCTGTATTTGTCAGGAGTTGTATTACCTGGTGGACAGCTGGTGCACACTCTCATGGAAGTGTTTACACATGACTACGGAGGACTTGCGTATGTGGTCCTCTAGCTCCACTTCCTCAAGGAACTTATTGGCCACCATCTCCAGAGCATCAGAGGGCCACGGCTGAATAAATACAACATAAATCAATAGTCTCTTCTCATCCCATTATGTGTCCCACAAGTCTGTCCCCATGGTTTCCATACCCTTCATTTATTCATCATTCGATTCACTTTGTCAGGGGCTCATCAATGCCAAACTTACTCAATATCCCTTTAAGTGATTCTAAACCTATTGTGTTTAAAGAAAAAGGACATACACCGGACAACACTAAAAAAAACTCATTCTCACAATTCTCGTCAAATTTGCATTTCAGTTTTCAGGAAATCCTTGTACTTAGATGTCGTAAATGTTACTGATACATTCTATTTGAATTAAGGCAATGAGAGGCATAATCTCTTGCCACTTGTGTTGCATTTATGTTTTGTCCCTATAATTGCCAAGATCATACTTTGGAGTAAAAGCGTATTTTCATGTCACTAACCCATAGATCCCCTTATAGTTAAGCCCTTTTTCTGAGTGTGATCTCTCTAAGAGTTTAGAATTGCCATAGTGAAATAAAGACTGGAGTATCTTACTTTATATCAAATGTTTTACCCATTCTAGTGTTTATTGTTTCTGTATGCAATAAAAGACAGCTCAATAGTGATATACCACACTTACCTGGAACCAATCAATGGTACAACAGTTGATGAGGGAAGGGAACATCCTCAGCCTGTTCCTAAATGCATCTCCTATAGGACTCATAGCCAGTACAATGTGCAGGTTCTGCATCACCTTCTCTATGAAGTAGTTATACATGGCAAGAGGAGTGGAATCCATCTTCTTCCCCTATAAAGGAAATCATTTAGAATTCATCACCTGCATGCTATATTGTACATTTGAGAAAACAATTTTCAACTGATAGAGGTTTTATATATATCATTTGAATTGCTACATTAAGTACACTGAAAGATCTAGCATTATCATGCTTTGTTATCTCATTGACACCATACCTCAGCCCTTGCTACACCCTGCATCTTCTCTATGAGTTCTGCCTTCTCGTCTGAAGGGAATATGTTAGGTACATCCCCAGTGTTGAGGATCATACTGATGTCTTCCATGAATGACTCATCTTTAATTTGTGTGTCCGCAAAAAGGAAAGTGATTGGCTTGTTCTCACATCCCGCCTTCACCAGGAGCTGGTACAACAAAAACACATCATAAGCAATCATAAAGACAGAGAACATGTCTGCCTTCACCAGGAGCTGGTACAACAAGCACACTCCAAAAAACAAGATAGTATTTAGACACAATGTGTTCCTGATCAATTGAATCCTATAAAAGGTAGAAGACGTGGTTATGATAAATTGACTACAAGCAAAAGTACTGATATCTGTTGGCATCAAGTACAAAACAAAACCAAATACCAGTAAACAACATAAGATTGGCAAACACAATGTGAAGAATTTTTCAGACTGGGTACTCTAATCAACTTCTTACAGAACACAGGACGCTGAATCAAAGACATCTATACTCACCCTTTTAATGTCTTCCCGCCACTCATTATTTGAGTAATTCTTTGTGATCTCAATCATAAAGATGTCATAGTCGGCCATGAAGGTTGCCAGCTTAGCTGCACTCTGTCTACCACTGCCTCCGATACCTGTCACACAACCACTTACAAGTCAACTACAGACAACCCACACCAGTAAGCCTGAGAACTAAACTATTTCTACCTAAAACTTTACATAGACAGTCTCAAAATTTTCTTTTTTTTTTGGACAAAAATAATATGTTTACCTATCATTTATGTTAAAGGTAATTAATTTATGAATTTATCCTAGTTATTCCACAATTTTCTCTGAGAACTATCCAGATTGGTAATCTAGATTCAATAACAGCAGCACTGAAATTTACATTAACATTACAAAACCTATAACAAACATTGGACATCAGGTGCTTTTTCATGCTGTAGGTGATGAACCTGGGCTACCTCACACTTACCAACTAGGAGAGCATTTCCACTGTCCTGTAACAGGACTCGGCTCACACGGGAGATGTGTTCAATGGCAAACTTGAACATCACAAGATGCATGGGTGCCTTACTGATCATGTTGTACTCATCCAAATAACTACACAAAGTAAGGTAAGGTGATGGTGAGTTGTATAACAAAAACAGTGAAACTGTGGACAGTCCAATATTACCAGTCAACAATCGCCTCCTCGTGTACATCATCACTAGCTCTTTGGTTTCAAGGGTACTGTATCTTACACAAATTACAGGTATAGCTACATTCTCTATCTCTGGGCTATTGACCATTGAGCTTATCATTAAATCAGTAATCTGTAAACACAGCTAGGGATTTTTAACTGGTAAATATTCATCATCATAATTACATCAAACAAATAAATAATCATGCCATGCAAGCCAATATCTATGACCACTGACAACACACAACAAAGAAAATCATATATTGTTTTTGATTTTTTTTTTACATTCATCATAAAATGGTTGGCTGTCAACTCTCCATTTTCCCTCCACAAACAATCAATATTATGGGCAAGCCTTCTTCCAGCATGGCTAGGAAAATCTCAGAAGTAGAATCATGTATGAGACTTTCCTTTTCCAACAATAAGGAACAACATGTCATTCCCATATATACCTTCCACTGTGATGTAGCAGTGAACTTTAATTTATTATTTTGACATAATGAAATGGGGGGGGAGGGGGTGTTGTGACATATAGATATATGTATGAAAACAGTTTTACATCTTATTAAATGCTGCTGATGTTGAAAAACCTTCCTCTTTCTGTCTATTATTAACATAATAAATCAACACTATCAACAACATGGTAATTACTAGCAGAGCTGTTACACAATATATTGTCTCTCCCAACCTTACAGATGATACCTGATAATCTCATACCATTCTCAGTCACTAAATACCATGTTTCCCAGGAACTATTAATCTGAACCACATACTAGGTAATTAGAGCTAGCAGGGTTTTACTGTATCTTTTAGGATATGTTTCACTGATTAAAAATGTAAAACATTACCTTTTCTCTTCAATAATTAAGAGATAATACGGAGATGATCAGCTTCAGTGATTACATACTGAATAACATATAAACACTTACTATTCCATCATGGACGAGAGCTCTTTGAAGTCGGAGATTTCATCGTAAACTTTGTTCTCCTGTATCATGAAGTCACCAAAGAACAAGTTCCTGATGTTGTCGTCCACCACGGATCCACTCTTTGATAAATGACCCAGCAGTTTGTCAATGTTGGTCTTAAAATGGTTGGAACATTGCTCCTTCACAATATTGAAAAACATCTCACTGTTGAAAAAAAGGAGCTAATGATAATTCCTTTATTCACCCCCAAAAAAGGTATATTGTTAACATTTTCTCTCTTCTCTCCATAACACAATCATGTGATAAAGATTTATAGGCGGTAAACACGACTGGGGGATAAAAACAGATATAAGGGGTAATAAACATGATCACGCGATATATATATCTTTAGGGTGGTAAACATGATCACGTGATATATATATCTATAGGGTGGTAAACATGATCACGTGATATATATCTGTAGGGTGGTAAACATGATCATGTGATATATATATATATAGGGTGGTAAACATGATCACGTGATATATATATCTATAGGGTGGTAAACATGATCACGTGATATATATATTTAGGGTGGTAAACATGATCCGTGATATATATATCTATAGGGTGGTAAACATGATCACGTGATATATATATCTATAGGGTGGTAAACATGATCATGTGAAATATATATCTATAGGGTGGTAAACATGATCACGTGATATATATCTGTAGGGTGGTAAACATGATCATGTGATATATATATCTATAGGGTGGTAAACATGATCACGTGAAATATATATCTATAGGGTGGTAAACATGATCACGTGATATATATATCTATAGGGTGGTAAACATGATCCGTGATATATATATATATATCGGGTGGTAAACGTGATCATGTGATATATATATCTATAGGGTGGTAAACATGATCACGTGAAATATATATCTATAGGGTGGTAAACATGTTCCGTGATATATATATATATATCGGGTGGTAAACGTGATCATGTGAGATATATATCTATAGGGTGGTAAACATGTTCCGTGATATATATATATATATCGGGTGGTAAACGTGATCATGTGAGATATATATCTATAGGGTGGTAAACATGGTCACGTGAAATATATATATATATAGGGTGGTAAACGTGATCACGTGATATATATATATATATATAGAGATAAACATGATCACGTGATATATATATCTATAGGGTGATAAACGTGATCATGGTATTTGTTCAACTTTAAGAAACAAAATGCCAAAGCAGAATGTATTGCTGCCATGGAAACATAAGGTGATTTAATTTGCTATTTAAAAAAACAATTTTACAATTTGTAAAGAACATCTAGATGGTTATTTTATAGATATTTTGTGTTCCAGTAATTATACTAACCGGTCCTCGTTGTCAATGAGACGGTCATAGAATACTCTGTACACTTCATGTATCCACAATCGGTACAACTTGTCTGTCTCAGTCATATGTGTATGAGGTACTAGTAGCACTCCTCGAATCACACGAGCAAAGTCACGCAGGTTAAACACATAGTGACTCTTTGATGGAGTGGGCAGGAAACTCTCAATAGCGTTTTTATACACACCCATTGTGGCTGCTACAATTAACTGTTCAAATACACAAAATCACATATAATCAAAATTAATCCAAAGTCAGATACCATTTTCATATCAAAATACACTAAATTCTAGTTGGTTTATAGACATATTTAAGACATCTAATTTGATAAGCTACATACAATTGCAGTATTACAAAAAATGTCCACCCAAATTTGATTTAACTTTATCAGCATAAAAAGGATATAAAAAATACCAAAGTACAAACCTTGCCATTTCTGACAAATGAGCCATCAAAACCTTTTCCAAAATGCCAGTCAGTGATATTGGTGAAAATTCTGGCCATAGTGTTGTCATCAAACTCATCGATTGATGTAACATTGAGATGGCGTGTGAACCGACTGGTAATGTCATTACGACCTCCTCCAGGGGGACCCATGGCCGCCACAAACAGCTAATAAAAGTATAAAGAAGTTGGTTTAGGTGAAACTGGCGAAAAGTGCATATCACTAAAAAAAACACACTAACAAATTATACTCTTAAGTAAACTGTTTTTTGGGAATAACAATTTTAGGGTGTATATTTATATAGGAAAACATTAACTGTAGAAACAGAATCTTACCACATCAGTTAAGAAGACTTTGGTTGTGTCTTTCCTGTCGTACCAATGCCCATGGTCTATCCATTGTCGCAGTAACTCAATGGGAGGCTGTGCTCCGTACTTCTCCTTACCAGGCATATTTAGATCATCAACAAACACCACCGATTTCTTCCCCATAGGTGGACCAAACACACCCTTCCTCCTCCTGTGCAACAGATCATCAAAATATCTTTCATTTTTGCCATTTCATAAAGAACAAAGTATAATAGTAAAATCTATAACCATGGATGACACTTTAGCTGATTGTTATAATGTAATCTTTAACCATACAAGAGATTTGAGCTGATTTGCCTTTGTACTAGAACCCTCGACTATAACCATTTGATCAGCTGATATATAAAACAATCTACAATGGTATACATGCACAAGGAGATTTTCGCTGTAGCCTTGATTTTGCTGTTTACTTTTACCATCAATATCAGAAAAACAGTAACAGCAATACAAATCAATGGGTTCTAGTAGTGGGTCCTAATCTTCGGCACATTGTAATAACCTGCAGATGAACATTATTTCTACCAATGTACGTAATTTTCAACATCAATTAGAGTGAAAACATGTGCATTTTGTTTTAATTTTGTTGCACAACATTAAAACACTGTCATTTTATTGAAACAAATTGTAGTTTTTACATTTTCAGCTTGTCATGGTTAGCTTCATTTACGATGCCTCCGAAGTGATATATGTGCAACGCAAGTGTTGTTATAGTATAACATATAACTAATGGACCAAATCAAAATATGAAAATGAGTTTAAGAGAACCCATGGGAGGCTAAATATAAGTGCTTAAGCATGACGAATATCCCCACAGCTCAGTCAAAGTCTAGTCCATCACTCAATCTAAATAAACAGCTCCAGTCAAAGTCTACATAAACAGCTTCAGTCAAAGTCTAGTCCATCACTCAATCTACATAAACAGTTCCAATCAAAGTCTAGTCCATCACTTAATCTACATAAACAGCTCCAGTCCAAGTCTAGTCCATCACTTGTTCTCCATAAACAGCTCCAGTCAAAGTCTAGTCCATCACTTAATCTACGTAAACAGCTTCAGTCAAAGTCTAGTCCATCACTTAATCTACATATCAAACAGATCTAGTCAAAGTCTAGTCCATCACTTAATCTTCATAAACAGCTCAAGTCAAAGTCTAGTCCATCACTTAATATACATTAACATCTACAGTCAAAGTCTAGTCCATCACTTAATCTACATAAACAGCTCCAGTCAAAGTCTAGTCAATCACTTAATCTACATATCAAACAGCTCTAGTCAAAGTCTAGTCCATCACTTAATATACATTAACATCTACAGTCAAAGTCTAGTCCATTACTTAATCTACATAAAAAGCTCCAGTCAAAGTCTAGTCCATCACTTAATCTACATATCAAACAGCTCTAGTCAAAGTCTAGTCCATCACTTAATCTTCATAAACAGCTCAAGTCAAAGTCTAGTCCATCACTTAATCTACATATCAAACAGCTCTAGTCAAAGTCTAGTCCATCACTTAATCTACATAAACAGCTCCAGTCAAAGTCTAGTCCATCACTTAATATACATAAACAGCTTCAGTCAATGTCTAGTCCATCACTTAATCTATATAAACATCTACAGTCAAAGTCTAGTCCATCACTTAATCTACAGAAACAGCATCAGTCAAAGTCTAGTCCATCACTTAATCTACGTAAACAGCTTCAGTCAATGTCTAGTCCATCACTTAATCTATATACACATCTACAGTCAAAGTCTACCCCATCACTTAATCTACATAAACAGCTCCAGTCCAAGTCTAGTCCATCACTTAATCTATATACACATCTACAGTCAAAGTCTAGTCCATCACTTAATCTACAAAAGCAGCTCCATACAACTTACCTGTCCAACTTTGACATGACAATGTCCTGTGTCTGGTTAGCTGAAGTTCTGGCAGAGAAGTTGATGCAGTTAGCCACATATCTGGAAATAGGTTGAAAAAATTCACAATTTTATTAAAGTTGTTAACGATTTCAATTATTATCTACACTACAAACAAAAATATTAAAACAAAACTACTGAATTCCTAGAATATGAAATTAGAATTTAAGAAATCAGTAAATGATTTCTTTTTCTATACTGTTACAGTATGAATGTTTTTAAGTGTGGCACTTAGATCAAATCCAGTTTTTATTTCCTGCTGCGCCACTCACTGCCTTTGATTTTAGCATGATATTCACATTGACAGATAGATGGAGTAAAGAATTTACAGACTGTATTCATATCACAGACTATTGAGGAAAATAAAGACCTACTGAAATCATCTGGTGCTGAGGTAGACATACAACTATATCTGTTGAAGGTTAATCTTGATGTATTTATAGTAACATTGCCTTTTGATATTGCACTAGTCTTGTGAATTGGTTGTCAAGTAATACTTACATATCCTTAGGCAGGCTCAGGAGGTAGTTGTTAGTGATGGCAGATTTACCAGTACCAGTAGGACCAACAAACAGCATGGCCTGCTCATGTTTGAGGTAGGTATCAAGGAAAAATGTCTGTCTGGCTGTCTCAGCCGTTGGCACAGTCACCTCACTCACCTGGAAACAAGCCAACATGCTTTTAAAATCTAATAAAAACATGGTTAATTAAACTCATATATTTGAGTTTGTTCATTTTTGACTATTTTCTTCAATAAAGTCAAAAGTATTATTCAATATCATTCCAATAATAAGCAAACTTTCCATCATGCAAGTATAACAAAAAACCTATAACTTAAGCATTTAAAAATTATAGGTCTCATTCAAAAACTGTTTCATGCAGCTTAAATTTTCTACCTTAGTGATAGTATTTTTAAATAGACAACAAGTATGCAGACAAGTTTAAATGCTATATGTATTGTACTGTAAAAGTTAACTTACCTTGGCATCATTAGCAATGGTCATAGAAGCACGATCAATAGTGTCTAACCAGTCAACCCAGTTTCCTCCACCCTTCTTTTCAAAACTGAAGTCATAGATGGTGGCCCTCTCTGGGATCATGTTACTCTGAAATTAGAACAGTGCATTTGACATCATACAAGGACAGGTAGTGTAATTTTTCTCTGGATTACAATAGTAAATTCAGATGTTTATAACCTAATTTCAGTTGTTTATTTACCTTTGTGATTTTGATGCTCTTAGGTTTGGGATGGTCAGCATCGGTACCACTGAGGATATTGCGGAAGTATTGATCAAACTTTTTCCTGCTGTCACCCGTTATGGTGCCACCGACTGTCCAGATGAGGGAGAATACAAACAGACCTTGCAGCCACAGGGTGATCTGAAAATCATCAGACTGGTGTGTAAGAATTCATAATTCACTTAACAGTGTTAAAATTTACTTCAGATTGTCAAGGATAAAATAGTTTGATTTTTTTACAAAAATGGTCAAAAGTGTTTGTGTATAAGTTGGATACTGAGCCTACCTGCTGATTGGAGAGAATATCCCGGGTAACCTCTTCCCCCTCTACTGGTGGGTTGTTGACGGAGTCTGCGATCTCATCCAGCAGACACGAATACAGCCTCATCTGGGACTGCACTAGGTGCATGTCGGATGTTTGTATAAACAGCTTACACTTTTTGTTGATGAAATACAGACAAGGGTCAATGAGCCACTCAAACAAGTCATTGACAAGGTCCTTATTTTCTTGGGACAGCTTCTGTGGCAGATCATGCTGCATGTAGGAGTTCTTGAATGGTCGCCAGCCCATCTGATGGGGTTCCAGGTAGATCATACCACACCTGCTAACTGTGGCTGGTGAAGCCTGCTCCAGGTCAGCAGGCTCAAATATCAGGTTCATCTTGTTGCTCATCTGAATGATCTCCCCACTCATCAGACACAGCTGTTCAGACATTAAAATTGATATCAACAAGAGGACTAAATAGCATCCATATTTTCCATATTACACACTGTCTAAACGGGACTCTGTTCAATCTGAATATTTTCTGAATCATCCATAGTTTTGGCAATTTATAATATTAATAAATTAGTTTCTTTACAATCTAGAACTCTGTACAGACGAATTCAGCTTAGACAGAGTACATGATAAAAGTAAATGATTTATAAATGTATGGAAATGATATTTATATAGCATTCGACTAAGAAAAACTGTCAAAGTCTAAATTCTCCTGCCATCATATGACGTTTATTTGCTTAAACAACATGCCTCTTTTAACATTCTCACTAACTTACCTTTTTGTTATCATCCAATACGGTGTTCATATTCTCAATCCAAACAGCGTCTACAGGACCATCAAAGAGAATCCACTTCCTGTCAGTGTTAGGGTTACTGGCATACTCTCTAAATGTGTTGGCCAGGACACCTGGAAAACATTCATATTTTTGTTAAAACAAGAATTCCACACTGGTAGATCTGTCCCCTGCCCCCACTAGTGGTCAAGTTTTCCACACTGGTAGATCTGTCCCCTGCCCCCACTAGTGGTCAAGTTGTCCACACTGGTAGATCTGTCCCCTGCCCCCACTAGTGGTCAAGTTGTCCACACTGGTAGATCTGTTCCCTGCCCCCACTAGTGGTCAAGTTGTCCACACTGGTAGATCTGTCCCCTGCCCCCACTAGTGGTCAAGTTGATTTTTATATTTGGGTCAAAATCAAAGCAGGTAATTGATATGTGTTTGTGTAGAAAATTTCATGAAAATCAAAGCAGTCCTTCAAGAGTTATCATATTGAAACTATTTGTTTGATCCTATAACTCTGATGTCATAATCTAAAACATTGTACCCTATGAAATAAATATTCTCGGTTCTAAATATAGGCAGGAAAATATCACTAAATAGCAATATAAAAGGTGAGTTTACCATCAGTCCATTCATGTGATACTGGATCAAAGCACCCGTACAGTTGACCCATAGTGATGGCCTTTGGGTTGATGATTCTGTACACTGTCTTAAACTCATCAAATGCCCCGATAGCTTGAAGGTCGCTCAGGGCTGCGGCCAGAACCTGCCAGCCTTTGGTCTTCCCTCCAAGAGGTTCACCAACCACCATCAATCCATGACGTACCAGGATCATCTCGTACACCTGTAAACACAAACAGTGTTATTGTATAAACAAACAGTATGATATAGCAGGTACATGTACTGTTATTTTTCATTTTACCTGCATTTACACATATTCTGTACTAAAGACAAAAACATGGAAATTTATTTCATATCTTATTATTTCAGTATCTTATTTATCAAAACAGCAAAACATGAAACCTATGTTAAAAATTTAATCAGGTATAAAAACCTAAATATGCATTTGGAATTTTTTCCTAATTCCTAACTGCTACCTTTTTCAAATACTGCAAACAATAACTATTACATTTAAGACAGAGTTTGTAATTTATCCACTATTCTTTTTGCTGGCTTATCTTCATTTATCCTATTATACAATGTATTCTACCTGTATAATCTTTTCAATAAACCATGGTACAGTCTGTAGTTTCATTTTCTCTGTATTGTCTTTCAGAGCGTCCATAAAGGCACCATAGTCAGGCTTAGGACATACAATTCCAGGGAACAGATCAGAAATTATTCCTTCAAACAAAGGTACATCCTGTAAACAAAACAAAAATAAACAATAATTCATTTTCTAACCCTAAATTACATCTCAGCTTATTAAAATATAACAAGTAAAACCTTATACTTTTAAAGGTATATCAAAATAAGTAGTCACTTAGTGTTTACTACATTGACATTGTAAACAATATTCGCTTTCTAAATTAACAACAGTTTAAAACAATCACTATTTTAAAGTATGGTAATAGATTTCCTTGAAAAAGACAACCGACCTGAGCCAAAAACTTTGGTAGGTTAACATCCATGATAGCCTTCAAAAGAAGGATAGCTTCATCCTGGTCGAGGTATTTGAGCTTGAGGTTACCAGCTGCGGTGAGGACAGACTTGACAGCCCTCATACCGTAATCATAATGATGCTGAGAGGACAGCTGCTCAGAACACAACTTGTATGTCGCGACGATCTTGTTGGCAAGACTGGAAGAAGAGTATAGCCAAGTTACATACTTGTTGAATGAAGCTTGAATTATACAAGTTAAAAAAAAGGCAAATATTATGTTATCAAACTGAGATATTGGTACTTAATGTTGATATCACAATTTGTTTATTTCCCATAGCAACGGTGCATTTTGATAAACCATACAGCATACTAAATCAGCATGTAATATGTGGTTTGTTTTTATCTATATTGATGAAGATTGTATTGCATTCCTATATATAAAGATAATTTACATTTCTTAAAGGGGCTGGTCGGGGAAAATATTACAAAATAAATGGGTCTAAATGTGTTCTCTGGCCTTCTAAAAGTTATACCACGGCAATATGATGGTCGAGATCTGCTTGCAATGTCCAGTTTTGACCACTGAAATCTCGGGGAAGCCCCGCATAAATTTAGCGCAGATCTATTTATATATGTCACGTGGTTGTTTCGAAAGTGAGGCAGTGAAGAAAACAACAATAGCACGCCGTCTATCAGCCATGTCGGACTCAACTAGCAGACAAGACAGCAATACAATATGTAAATAATTGTTTTCAAAGGTCATGTATGATGCAAGTGTAGTATTCCTACCTATATGTTGTTGTTATATATAACGGTATTGATACCTCGTGCCTGTCATGACTTTTGCATGCATCTTTTTCTTTTGCCGCGATGTTTACATTTGGCCTTGTTGATGACGCGCATGCGGTAAAATTTAGACTGTCAGGTGACGATTTAGGATTTCTTTAATATAATATAATTTTTACTCTTAGGGAGTGAATTTCGGCAAAATTTGAATCGGTATATTTCATAAGAAGGTATTTTAAACATGTGTATGCCATTTTAGCAAATATGACATTTTTTCCCCGACCAGCCCCTTTAATTTCGAAAATATTAAAAACTTTTTTCTTGATATTGACTATTCAAAATGAATTAATGTATCATAAAAATAGATACAGACATTCTTTACACAGAATTCTAAGTGAGCTAAAAACATTACCTTCTAGCGTCGACAAAACCCATGGAGTACAGCGAGATCTCTCCAATCATTCCATAGTCGGGCACCATCATAGCCACAGTCCTGAACAACACCTGTCATACAGAATAAGGGGCAGTGCAAATATTCTGTTTACAATCATTGTTTTGTAGATCAATATAATTTTTTACAAATGTAATTGCTATTTCCTTAAACTGTCCCTAAGTTGGACTTGTAAAACTATCCACTTCATAAATTTTACAAATACTACTAGTAATGTACACAAACAGCCAAACAATAAAAAGATTTCCTCTAGGAGCAGTTGAAATTAATATGAAAAAAATATGGACAAAACATTAACTGTCATTAAATATACATACAAAGGAGGGACCTGTTTTCTTTATATGCCCTGGTTCTGTTTATCTGCATATATGTATCTCACTTACTTTCAGATTATCAGGTAATTCCTGACGTCCAGCATAACCAGGGTTCATGGTGATAAACATTGTACAGGTGGGATTGAGTGACAGTTCAGTACCCTCAAACATGAAGCGCTTCAGACGGGCTGCAATGGCATTCTGGATACTGGCAATCTGTTGGGCCACCACGGACAATACCTCCAGTTCTATACGGTTGAACTCGTCAAAGCAAGCCCATGCCCCGGCTTGGGCCAAACCTTTGAAGAACTTTCCCATAGCTTTGAAGTCCAACCCATCAGAGCAGTTAAACACCACACACTGTAAAATGTCAGACAGCAGTATTATTAATAGTTTTATTCTACTTGCATAAAAGTGTATTAGACAGTTTTACGGCCGATGTAGTACTGTACAAAGTTGCATTAGGGTAGAAAGTAAACTCTACTGACCTGTTTTGCCACTGCTTTGGCCAGATCTTTGCAGGTTTCCGTTTTCCCTGTTCCAGCTGGTCCCTCCGGGGCACCTCCCAGGTTCAGCTTTAATGCTCCCATCAGTGTTCTATAAACATGTCATAATCAATAAGGATTTTAAGGAAATATTTTTCTTTAAATTAATAGTATTTTTTTTTTATATAATTTGAATAGATTTATTTCAATTTTTATTAGCTGCTAAATGTCTAAAACAGTGATAAAAACAACATTAACATTCGAAGATTCAATGTATAATCGTGTAAACATTATATTTTTCACTCACTGAGTAAAATATACCGACCATTTAAGATAAATTTGGCTAAGTGTACCTGTAACATCTGTCTGTGAGGGGAGTAATGACCAAACGGCCACTGTTGCCTAGATACTCATAGCCATAAGCCGTGTCTGTGGTGATCATGCGTACAACCACGTCATCCTTGTCCCAGTAGTACCGCAACTGAGCTAGCCAATCAAAATCATTGGGACTGGACACATTGTCCTCGGCAAGTTTTGCCACAACATCACGAGCTAGAAGAGAAGAAAGAAAATATTATAAATGCTCTGATTAAAAATAAGAAACAGTATTTTTTACTTCAAAATTTTAGATAAACATTTTAAAATTAGTAGGTTACTTAAAACTGGGGGTAAAATGACAATGCCTATCCAATTTTTGTTGTCAAACAGTTAATATTATATCACACGTATGTTTTCCACACAAAATAATTGAAATGTAACATGAGAACTTACCATGTACATCAATGACAGTAAGTGCCCCAAGGGTAACCCTGTGGCCGGTCTCCAATTTGCCTCTTACAAGCTGTACAATGTCAGATATCTGATCATTACATACCAGGTGGTATTTCTGTAATGAAGAAATTATTGTGATCAATTTCGTATTACGTAAGGACAATCCACCTTTCATATATCATGCTGTTTTTGACATACTTTTGTGTTGTCATTTTGTAGTATAAATTCTAGTCAACACCTTGTAAACACAAGAACAATTGTTTTGTGATGCCATCAACACAATGTCAAGTCATTACTAGGAAGTATGTAGTTAGTCAACCTAGGAGAGATGTAATGATAACATAAACTGACTTTCACTTTGTCTTCACTTTTGCTGTGTATTTACATTTTCTGTTATTTACATTTGCTGTGTATTTACATTTGCTGTGTATTTACATTTGCTGTGTATTTACATTTGCTGTGTATTTACATTTGCTTGGTAGTTCTGCTGTGTATTTACATTTGCTGTATTTACATTTGCTGTTATTTACATTTGCTTGGTAGTTCTGCTGTGTATTTACATTTGCTGTATTTACATTTGCTGTGTATTTACATTTGCTGTGTATTTACATTTGCTTGGTAGTTCTGCTGTGTATTTGTGTTAACTGTGTATTTACATTTGCTGTGTATTTACATTTGCTGTTATTTACATTTGCTTGGTAGTTCTGCTGTGTATTTGTGTTTGCTGTGTATTTACATTTGCTGTGTATTTACATTTGCTTGGTAGTTCTGCTGTGTATTTGTGTTTATTGTGTAGTTACTTTTGCTATGTACATACATTTGCAGTGTATTAAGGTTTACTATGTATTTGCCTTTGCTATGTACTAACCTTCTTGTGTATTTACCTTTGCCGAGTATTTAGTTTTGCTGTATATTTACTTTTGCAGTGTATTTACTTTATGCTGTGTATTTACTTGTTCATCTTAGGTAGAAAGTATATTTTTGACGATTGAAAGGAAATGTTGAAAATTGACGCCATTTCTGAGAAGGTTTCACTCCCAGTACATGACTTTTAATAGACAGTAAGCTACCTTCAGTCCTCCCGGCAACAGCATGGCTTCTGAAACCTCTGTTGTCCAATAGATTGAGGATGCACATATGACCACCTGCCCTGCCCACTCCAACACCCAGTTATTTCTGATTGTGGTCTTGTAGGCGGCTAATGACTCTATGATAACCTTTCTGAGACTGCTGATCATCACATCCTCCACTTGTAGCAGCCACTTCTCAACCATACCCTGTACAAAGTTAATTCTCACATCATTACAAAGAAAGTATCCACTTCATATAACATGGTTGACAACTGTAACCTACCCTATCAAAGTACTGTACTATGAATCAGTGTATGAACAAGTATTCATTAGTGTTGAATTTGTGAAGAACTCTATGAATTTACATAAAGATCTATTTTTCTAAGGTATAAAAATGATTTACAGTAACGTAATTAATTCCAAATGTGGTTTATCATAGAATCCCATAGTGACATACTGGTACAGATATTAACTTTCTCCTCAATATTTACCTTTGCTTTTGCTGGAATGATTTTAGTATTGAAGGGAACAGTTTCATTTTCAGAAGAGATCATGCCAAGAATTTCTTGGGTCTCTGAGAAGTCCAAACGACTGATGCCCTCAAAACATTTTTTCAGATGAGGCTGTACTCTTGTTGGATCCTTGGTCTCAGACAGGATTTCTAACAACTCGTCATTGGAGAGGAAGAAAAACCTAAACAGGAACAAAAGTAAATTATGTATCAAAATACAAGAGGCCCAGAGGGCCTGTATCACTCACCTGTTTCTTCTGTTACATGAAACTGATATATAGGTAACTTCAGACCAAATTTGATAACAAGAACACAAGACATTTTAACATCTCTTAAACGGTTCTTAAGATATTGTCGTTTGAAATTTTAATTTTAAAGCTTTAAACCCACGTTGACCTTTGACTCTGGCTAGCACTTAAAGTTGACATTTGACCTCATTACTGTAATTAAGAAAAATATCTACAGCTAGTCTACATAACATACCCACTAGACCTAACGTCACGCTACCACAATTGGTACACTACCCAAATTGGTACACGGTCAGAAAATTGTTCGAATAGTACTTTAAAATTAAATTTGAGCATTTTCCATTAACAGTATAACAAAATAGACATTTAACAGCATTTCTGCCGAATAGTTTTGTTTTCAGGAACATTTTAAGAGTACACGATGACTTCAAAGTAAACATATCGGAAAACCAGTAAAAACGACGTACGTCGACGAAACTTTGGAGGATTTTCAAGGGGTTAAATATAAGCATGTTTAAATGTTGATTTCTGGTCCTTATATTCGGATAATATAAAAGTGAATATATACAATTATAGTTCAGTGTGGTATCTATAAAAGCAATATATTTTGTTGTAATCGGCACATCAACTTGTAGAAATATAAACAATTTCCATAGCCTGTGATATGGTGTACCAATTTGGGTATTATTTACGGCCGAAAAACGGACGAAATCTCACTCCGAGTTTAGCGATCTATTTTCAAAAATAAATTACTTAGATATAAATCTTTTCCTGAAAATGAACCACCATAGGTAGTCTTTGTCAAGAATCAAGAAACATTCCAGATACAAGATCTGAATTTTTAAAGATCACTAAAAAACTGTCAAAATTGTACCAATTGTGGTAGCGTCACGTTAATCCTTCTTAGGATATTGTTGTTTAAAGTTTTTAACATATTTTACCCCTGTGACCTTGAAAGTAGGTCAAGGTCATTTTAATGAGGAAACTTTATAGCACTACGTTCCAGGTACCTACTGGCCAAATATCATGGCCTTATAGGTCCTCCAGTTCTTCAGAAGAAGTGGTTCAAAAGAAAAAGTTGACGGACAACAGACGGACGGACGACGGATGCCGCAGTACGGCATAAGCTCACATGGCCCTTTGGGCAGGTGAGCAAAAAAGTGAACGGGCCTCATGTAGATATACTCCTGCCCCTAAGAAGGTCAATTGTGATCTTTGACCCTTTAACCTTGACCAATGTCAACAAAAGGGGTAGGAAGGACTTCATGGAATTTCAACACAGTGTAATTACAAACTGAATTTGTTGAGGGGTTCATAAAACATCATGTACAATAAAAAAAATCTCCTCCTCTCATGGATACACTGACAAAGCAATTACTGTTCCTATAGTGATGACACTGAATTGTGTGACAAATTTCTATTCATAGTTCCAGTGACCTTGATTAAGAAACCTTGAAATACAAAACTTCTTTTAGGAATTCTTGATATTTGTATAAACTTTGTCTAAAATTTGTCAAGAAATGAAGTTGGTAGAGGGATGAAACTGAATCAGAGCAGGATGGAACAAGACAGAAAAAATATTAAACAAACCTTGGAAAGTAAAGACGCTTTTTCTCCAAGTACGCATTCAGTCCCTTCTGGATTTCCTCTAGGAGACGATTTGATTCACGCAGTCTTCCCAACATATTGTTCTGGGCTGTGGCAACCAGACAGTGATTGTCTTTAATGGCCTCTCCCATCACATCTCGCCAGATGTTGTCCACGATACCAAATTTACGGCCTTCCTCAGGCATCTGGGCCAGGATATCCTCAGAACTGAAGATGGGCTCCAAGTACAGCCAGGTGGCTTGGCACTAATAAACACAAGTGGTAGTGGTGAAGATATGAAGATATGTTAATGTTACTTACATTGAGACATCCTTCAGGTCAAAATCATGACAAGATACCCCTCAGACCAGAACCATGAAAACAATACTATATGTCTCCTTTTCATTCGAAAGGGAGACATTATTATACAAGACTGCATGAATTAATCCAGTCCATGCAATCTGGAGTTGTACGTTCAAAGACTTTTCCATGTAAGAGTAACAAAGGTACAAAATATTTAAATGTGTCTGGCAGAATAATTTGATATCCAATTCCAACGAAATGCTACAAGCTTGAAGGAAAAATTAAAATATTGGACGATGAAGAGAATTGGCAGTACCTTGAGCCATTCATCCAGGATGTCCTGCATCATGACCAGTTTCTCCTCCCACTCCCTCATTTCATTCTCAAAAGGCTTGATGAACGGTGAGCCCCTCATTGTCTGGGACTTGACGATGTGGTCATCCAGTAACACCTGGATTTCATCTGGAGCCGCGAGTATACACACTCCCTGTCAACGGTAAAGAGGCATATAACTATACATACTGTACAGTATACATTAAAACGCATTCTTGTTTCTTATATATATACATTTAGATCTGTGATCAATTATACCTAAAAAATACAATGTATTTGCTAATGTATAGATATTTATCAATATTTGATGCTGCCAAGTTTACCGTTTCTCTGTAGGGAATGAGTTCAAAGCACTGATCCTTCCACTCCAAGCTCATCTTCTCCAGAGCCTTCTCCAGAGAGAATTCCTTAGCTGCAGCAGCTCCAATCTCCTCCAGTCTGTAACACAAAGACAGAGTTACAATCAACTATACAAAGATGCTTTCTCCAGTCTTCCTCAATTTGTTGTTTTAATGTAAAATGTTCCCTTTTACCAACACGTACACTGTAAAGGTCTATATTTTAGTGATGATCTTCGACCCAGGGATGTGTTGATGCAGCGACATAACTGTCATTGGGTGAATATGCTGTGCATATTATGTTGGGCTTTATTTTGATTGCATTAATATGTTCACAATACCCGTCACTGCCTGGAATAAATAATACAAACTGCAGGGTGATGTTTGAATAGGTAAATGACATTTTGAATATATCCATTATTAGGATGTACTTACTTCTGGAGATGTTTGCCGAGACCGTACTCCAACATATTGTTGAGAGAAGTCTCTGTCTGGGGCTTCAGATCAAATCCAACAATCTTGCTCATCTGTACACGATAAAACAAACCAAAAATGTAAACGTAGAAAAGAATTATCTATCCGTATAATATTTTTGATTATAATGAAAGACTCCAAGTCAGCAAAAACTAGCCTAATACTGGTAAATGAGACATAATTCATTGAATGCATCTCTTACTATCTGGAATTTAAAATTTGTGGTACCAGGTTCACAAGCGGTAAATATTTTACCAATATGCAGAATTATAGTGNGTAAATACTGAAGTAACTTTAGAATTGAAAACGTTAATATAAACTAGAAACAACAACGAACAATTTTCATATAACTTTTTTTCACATATAACAAATATTTTCCAAGTTATGCACATTTGAAAAATTAAGTAAATTAATTTAAATTTCAATAATTAATTCAGCAGTGGTGTCCGTTTACATAGAAATCAATATAGCAGCCTAAGGGTTAAGACTTTTCAGCAGTGTTAGACAGTGGACTTACAGAATCCCAGTGACGATCCCTGATACCAGGATTACAGATGGTCTGCAGAATAGGAAGATGTTGTTTGAATTTATCAATCTTGTTCTTGGTGTTATCAGCGATTCTCCTTGGTCCTGCCTGATCGTTAAAGGATTTGGTCAGTTTGTACATGGTCCTCCACATGTCTGTCACTTCTGTTTCAATCTCCTCGGCATTCAAGCCCTGGAAAGCACCTGTCAAAAGAGAATAGTTGCAACTGAAATAGGGGATCTGAAAAGGTCCAAATGTTTTGTTTTGAAGTTTAATATTAATTATTACATATTTTACTAGAAATATACCCATGTTCAGTTGTAAGCCCATCCGTTGTTAAACATATTTTGATATGCCAGTGATATCTGGAAATAAGACCGTTTAACACATAAAGTGTCAAATCTTGGATTCTGTCTAGAACTCCATAAGTCACTTTATAAAATTTCCTTTAAATTATTCATTTGACAGGTTAAGAAAACTGTACCATTGAGCCACTTCTCGTGTTTCTGGTGGAAAGTGTATGCAGTTCCCCATAGCTTTTCGTATGGTTCCTTGGTGGTGAACATGGTTTTTAACTGTGGGAATTCACTTGTCTCCCATTCCAGCAGCCGTTCTTCCTCATTGATTCCCTCCAGTTCATCTCGGGCAGCCTCCAGGTTGGTGGTGAGAGTTGCCAGCTGTTCGGTGTTAGTCCTCATGGCTTCCTCACTGAGGAACTGTAAGCACACAAAACTCATTTACTCCAACAATTACTATACCATAGTCATCGAATGCCAAGAAAAGGATAACTCACTCAGCAGGGATGTACAATTCCACTAGCCCAATGCCTTGGCCTAAAAGATTTTATGTAAGGTCTAATGTACTTCCTTGACCTAGCTGTCAATATAGCTAACACAAATGTACTCTCTGGTCTGTCCTCATACTTATTGCAATATACACATTCATTCTAAATATGAGAAAATCTATAACTTAAGGGTAGGAAAATGTAGTGGAAAATTATTTATAAAAAAAAATCGGTAAAAAGTAAAATAAAAGTTACCTCTTTCTTCCTGAAGGACTCTACTTCCTTGACCATATCATTGAGTTTTTCTTCATACGCTTGTGTCCTCCTCTTAAGCTCATCCTCAATATGGTCACGCTTGTTGATGATCCTGGACTGGGACAACTCAAACACAGACTTGATGTGATCAGGCCACAGGAACACCAGACTGTTCAACTTGGTGTCCTCCACTTTACAAATAAAAGTCAACGTTTTAGTCGTGTTAGGAGGAACTGTTCCAGGTGATGTAAAAAGACTCGCTCAGCAAGTTATTTACCACTATTATTGTCAATAGATAAAGGAAGAAATAGCCCAGACTTGCTTATGAACTAAAATACTTTTAGTTACTCTAACAAACGCAATCATCATCTTGTCAAGCTTTGAATTGAAATACAAAATGGAAAGCTAAGGAGAATAGATACATACATGGGAAGATGGCATAGTCCAACAGGAACATGAGCCGACTTGTGGCATCCTCTATCTCGTCTTTCAGTTTGTACACCGTCACATCTGACGACTAAACAAAAACAAATGTCATGACTATCAAGACTTCAAATAACAAAAAAAGATAAAAACTCGCTGTTTTTATTGACATACAGTCTTAAAAATCAATCTTTCACATGTCTTTGAACCATATATGTAAAGATGTTTATTTCTAACTCACTACTACTGTATGTAAACTGATGAACTTACTATCAATATGCAGTGTTTTGGGTAAATATGATGATACCTGATTTTGTTATAATTTTATTGGTAATAAGCTACCTGTCAGGATGTAAAAGTCCAGAAAGCACAAACTTTCAACAACCTCCCGCTGTGTTTCACAAGTGTATCACCGACACTTGTCAAGTGACCAGCTATGGACATCGTCATGTGACGAAATGTCCAACACCTTAAAAAGGGAATATCTGAGGCCATAAATGAATCCAGTGCCAAGCCCCCATCCTTAGCAGGAAGCAGATATGAGCTTGCGGCAACTGACCAGAGTATTTTGTCATAGGATGATGACCATCGTTGGACATGTGACAAATGTCGGTGAATATCATTCACCATTTTACAGAGACACCGGGAGAGTGTTGAAAGCTTGTGCTTTCTTGTCTTAGAGATCCTGACAAGTTACTGTTTACCAATCAGAAGTGTGATGTTATAATGACAACTAGCCGTACAAGTGAGCCTTTCCCTAGAAGATGACATATAGTCAAAGAACTGACCGTTTTTAGGTACTCTTGGCTATCCACTAGTTCTTTGGTTGTCTCTGGAATCTCACTGACTTTGTCAGCCATCTCATCATAACGCTTACAGATTCTGAAATCAGATGACATTACAAGTGAATTAAAGTGTTTGGATTTTTTGATAAAATGTCAACAGGAAAAAAACAAGGAATGTTATTTTTATTCATTGGATATCAGTTAAAATATTGCATCATTTTTGCCTTGTTATTTAGAAAATACAATTTCCATTTTATTAGATTTGATTCAATCAATGTACCGCAGATTCACTCAATGAAAATTGTCACTGATAGTCAGATACTAACTGCTTTCCCTGACATATGAGCCCCAAAACCAGAGGGTGAGACAGTACTAACTTACCCTCTGTTGAGTTCCCTGTTTTCGTCTACTTGGTATGTGACCAGCTTCTCTTTCAGCCTCATGGCTCGTGCACACAGGTCATTGTTGAGGTTGACACAATCCAAACAGAACATACTAAGTGGTACTGTGATACGTAGCAGGCTAATCTCATCCTTCAAGTCCTGGAAACTGATGATTTTCTGGAGTAAAAACAAAACAAAAATTACTTTCAACAATGTCATACATTCATTCTCAGATGATAACTAAATTAAATATGAATCATACTTGCAATATCATAATAACAATAACATGTGGTAACCTGCCCGACCTTATGGGCTTTCTCTGGGTACTCCAATTTTGTCATCAGACCACCTCTTACTGTTTGTACATTAATTTTTTAATATACAAATATAGGGTACACACCTTTTTGAAAGCCTCAATTGAGTGTTTTTCCCTAAGGAATGATGCTACATCCTGATCTGCCTTGTTGTCCAGAAGGTCAGAGTACTTCTTGTAGGTGTTTAAGTATCTACAAAAAAACATTGTACGGTGAAATTCTCTTAAATAATGCTTCTTTGCTCAAATAATAAAATGTCCAAAAATTTATACCAACCACAATATGAAGAACAGTACCAATTTTCTGAAGGTATCTCTACCCCTGATCTTCATTGATTTCGCATACAAACATTTATAACACTAAATTTGACTGGGACATAACTATCATGACAACCGTGAGACTATCGTGAGACTGGGGCCAACAATAACCGTGACATTCATCTAAACCTGATGAGATTCGCTCACTTTTGGGGTCCCGTGGTGTTGATTTTGAAGATGTCCATGGCCTTGTCCACATAGTCTGTGACCAGTGTTTCTTCAATCTTCACACTCCTCAGCAGCAGTCTCTGGGCACGCATGTCTGGGAACAACTCACACTCCACCTGTACCGGAAACAACAGGTGTAAACACTCACTTAACTATAACCTACCTACATACAACAACAATCTAACAGCACAGGGTCGTAGTGGTCTACGTATTAACTACATTGACCACCACACTCAGACATAAAACATTATTCTAAGAACTGTAACTTACATTTTTCAAACATTTAGACTGGAAATAAATCAATATTGAAAACATACAGTAAACAATTTGTGAAAACTGAACAAAGTACAAAACAATATATATTGACTGGTAAGAGAAAAATAAACCTACCCTTGTGAGACCCTCTCCACTAGCAATGATTTCCGAGAAACATCGGAGAATGATGTCCCTTATCTCCCTGAATGGAGGATCAAACTGAATCCTTGGTTCATCCACTCTAAGCTTGATGATCATCACTTGGTCAGTCACATACTGGAGCTCATCAAATGTGTCACCAAAGTCATTGCCTCCCTAACAAATCAACACATTGGTATGATTCCTGGTCTAGTAAGTACAAATACTGATATTATCAGACAGTTTGTTACAGAGTTTGAAATTCTCAAGACAATTCCTGAACAAAGGACACAAATGGGACTACATAATAAACAAGAATCTGCAATAGTCATATATATTTGTAGTCAACATGGTTTATTGTATTTAGTAAAATATCAACGACACAAAGTAATTATAATTAAGTGTAATAGTGGTAATTTATTTTCAATTAACATTCATGACCATATAACCATGTATAACAGAACGAGTGCTATACACTAAGTGATCTTCTTAATATACATTACATTTATTGTGCCTATAACCAGTCAATTAAATGGTATTTTGCACTCACAGAAATGGAATGAATACAACGTTACTGAAGTATCATACTAAATACAAATCTGGCCAAAGCATCATATATGTACCTTGTGAGTTTCAAAGAACTCCAGGAAGTCTACCAGGGAGTTGATGACCATGGATCGCAGCTGTATTGACATGAGTGCCGCCACACAAGCGAAGAACTCCTCCACCAACTGAGTGGAGTCTGTGTCATTGGGTGGCACCAGGTCCTGCCACAAATCGTTCTTGTCCACAAAAATCTTCGCACAAGTGGGAATCCAGCTACAAAAATATATCAGCTTGTTATCATTTACAACACATTACAATTAAAAGAAAAAGCTTTGCAAAATTTTGTATCAATACTGTAGATTGTTTATATTTTGTGAGATTTTATTTCCATAAAATTTTGTACCTTGGAGTCTCTTGTGAAATCAAATATCAAAGGAACAATTATTTTCACACAACCTCGGACAAACGTACCAAGTGAAACGTGGATAAATGTCCTCATTGGATACAGGTGGGTCGGTTCGCCCTATTAAGAATACATTCGGGAGGATTGACTTTCAGAGGTGTGATAACTTACCTTTTACGGAGGACTTCATGAGCCTCCCAGCATTGTTTCTTTACCAGGGATTCAAACTCATTGGGGAGAAGGGGTAGGTCAGCCTCCCTAAGTTCCTTAAGATTCACAAATCTTAGACTGTTAAACCTAGGAACATTCAAATATCATGTGTTATCAATGTGTCCCATAAACTAGCCAACAAAATGAATCCTGATGATACGATACATAGATGCATCTTAATTAATGTGCAAAATGGGAAATTATAGTGACAATGAAATCCTAATTCAATGTGAACTCATATTAAAAAGATCTCATGTGAAAACGTATGAACTACTCACTGGTCAAACCAGACCTCCTGGAGCTCCAGCATGAGTGGGTTGGTGATGAACAGATGCTCCGTGGTGAAGCCCTTCATGTCGCTATAGGTGGAGTGCCATGGTACTGGGGCCCGGATTATCCTAACATAAATATAACATCCTTAAGTTTTGCAATTACTTGCCCATATATCTAAGATATCTATTGATATAAGATCTAAGATCTATTGAAATCAAATGTAAGAGAAGACACATTGCTAATGTAATTCATTTTGGAGAAAAGAGTAGCAACATATGCTGTCTTATTCAAATCTGTTATATTCAAAAAGCTATAGAAAACTTCTATGAAATCAAGTATCTTCAAATAACTGAACTTTGCTTTAATTACATGTTTACATGTGTATAGATTTGGTAAAGTGATAATTTCCCCCAAAAATACCTCTTCTGAAATGGTTTTGGGGTCCATGCAATGTGCAGTCTTTCTTTCTCGGTGGGATCTTTTAGGATATAGTCCACTGTAAATAATAGAGGACATGTACATGTTTATAAATACAAGCCATGGATATACAAAACAGTAGCCAACAGCTATTGTCAAGAAATCAGATCTTAGAATATTTAAACTATAATTGATGGAGCAGGTGTTTTTTTGTTCGAATGTACCCTTTCTTCAAACTCTCAAAATACTCTAGAACTAAATATTTTATTAACATTACAGCTTTACTGAAATGTAACCTTCATGGTTTTCTCAAAAGCTTTCATTTTTGTACTCATATCATTATCAATGACATTTTTTGTATAATTTTTTTGATTTTGATCAGAACACAAATAAAGGCAAAAGAATAATAGATATATCCATATCAAAATATGTTTAACTGACCAATGGTCTTGCGAATGCTGAACTCGTAGTCATTGATGACTTCATTTGAGAGATCCTCTACCATGCCTTTCAGTTCAACGCTGGACAACAAGGGAGCTGGTACAAGCTCACAGATATTCTTCATTGTGTCAGGATGAGGCTGTGCCAGCATCTCTCGCCGGATACCCTTCTCTATGTAGTAGTAGTACCTCTGTCAAAGACCAAACCAAATGCATCAGTATTGTACTGTTGTGTATCAGTATTGTACTGTTGTGTATCAATATTGTACTGTTGTGTATCAGTATTGTACTGTTGTGTATCAATATTGTATTGTTGTGTATCAGTATTGTACTGTTGTGTATCAATATTGTATTGTTGTGTATCAGTATTGTACTGTTGTGTATCAATATTGTATTGTTGTGTATCAGTATTGTACTGTTGTGTATCAATATTGTACTGTTGTGTATCAGTATTGTACTGTTGTGTATCAATATTGTATTGTTGTGTATCATTATTGTACTGTTGTGTATCAATATTGTATTGTTGTGTATCAGTATTGTACTGTTGTGTATCAATATTGTACTGTTGTGTATCAGTATTGTTATGTTGTGTATCAATATTGTATTGTTGTGTATCAGTATTGTACTGTTGTGTATCAATATTGTACTGTTGTGTATCAATATTGTACTGTTGTGTATCAATATTGTACTGTTGTATATCAATATTGTACTGTTGTGTATCAATTTTGCACTGTTGTGTATCAATATTGTACTGTTGTGTATCAATATTGTACTGTTGATGGACAAAAACAATCAGGACCAAGGAGTAAAATAGGACACCCTTGTAATAGTGTCATTCTAACCCTTTCATATTCTTTATATCTTTCAGAGTAGAACCAATGATAATAATCAGTGGACCATTAAAAACAGGACTTTGCTAATCTGGACTTTGACGGTGCAATACTTGTTGTCTGACGATTAGATCTTAAATTTATATACGTTCAAATACTTACAGTAAGGTAACAATATAAAAACAAAAATGGCTTTTATTATATCGATAACCATTTTCAAAACTTTAGGAGACCGCAATTTTGGAGAAAGTCCTGAAACTTCAATGTTATTTTTTCTATTAGTTCCCTGTAGAAAACCTGTACATTACAAACCTGGTTCATTATTACTTTTATATAATTTTAGCTCTATAGATTTATGTAACTATAATTACTGTAAACATATATATTTAGCAGTAATCTTATTTAATTGCGTTTCATACTTTTAATATTGCACAAAATTATAATGACCCTAATTGAAGTTTTAGTATATTTTTTGTCAATTGCAAACAAAAATGGGTGTGCCAATTCATCAATTCACTACAAGATAAAAGATTGGATTGATTGAGTGCTGTACTACCTGGTAAGTAACTTTACAGTTATCGGTTTTTAGCTAGTTCTAACTCTTTTTTAATGAGGGTGAAACAACGTTTCAATTTCCAAATATATATTTCACACAAGTTTACAAGTACAGCTTTGTTAACAATGGGTAATTAACATACAAGTAGGTTGGTTTTAAAGTCTGACACTTTTAATTCACAACAGTTCAGGTCTGTATGCAAAAGATGTTACATGGAATAGATCAGTGATGTTTTTACCTAGTTTAGTGCCAAATACAGGCTGATTCCCCAAGCAAGAAAGTGCTTTTTTTCCCAAATTGAAGAAAAAATGAGGAAATAATCCTATATTTTCCCAATTCATGTATTGTAGGAACAGGATGTTGTAAAATTGAAGTAGAAAAAACATTGATGATTGTATTTGAATTTTAACTACCAGGTATGCCTAGAATATAATGAAAGTTAAAATGTTGACCAAACACATTGGCAAGCACACATTATATACATGGATATGACTTTACAGAGGGAGGGGGGGTCTCTTATGATGGTAGACTATCATTTTAAATTGACTTTTAAACAGCTGCAGATCTTTAATCAAAGTCAAGTATAATCACCAGTAATTTCATATTATGGCAGTTACAACATGAAATCAGAATTTATACATAACTTCACACAATGAAAGAGTTAACCTGTTTATTACTTGAGTTAAGACACAGATATGAATGTGCAAGCAAAGAACAAGTACTAAAACCTACTGTAAACATTTGGCGTATCAGGGGCTACTCACTCTATAACCTACTAATAGTAACAAATTATTCTCAAAATATTTTAACGAAAGCTAGACTCTACGAAGTCACAGAGAAGCTTGATAAAGATTTAACGGAAGCTAGACTCTGCGAAGTCACAGAGAAGCTTGATAAAGAGCGCGAGCTAGACTCCAAAGAAAACAAGAGAGAAATAATCTGTCATCAGAGGTCACCATCATGTCCTAACTACTGGTACCATATATCAACAGACTTTTTATGGAATAATAGGCAATGAAATCAGATAACAGAATTTTCAACGGAAATTTTATTTGGAAATTTTCATTGTGAGTATAGTCTGTAAGCTATTTAGATGTCTATACATTAGCTAAGTCATTTATAATATAAATGAGGTTTCCTTCTAGACTGATCCATAATTTTGTAAAGACTTGAGTCCTTGCCATTTAAATAGTTTGATAACAACACACACTTTGGAAAAGATCCAATACCAGTACGTAGAAGGCCATAACCAAAGTTCAATCAAAAGATTAAACCAAGTGATAAGTTATTCTAATCTGCTTAAATGCCCGCCTGTTAGAACACCACTCAGTGCACATGTCTCTACTAATCCTTACTTTTATTCATACATTATACACGAAAAATAGAGTTAGTAAATGACAACACTCGGATAACTGATGTGATTTTGGTATGTTGCAATGTTACATTTACCAGAAGATTATTGTGTTATTTAAAGGTATTTGTTTTGAATATGATTTTGGGCCTCAAACAGACTCAATCAGATTACAAACAACAGACTTGGCAAAAACATACAATGATATTTGGAAAGATAATGTGATCTTCTTTAACTTGGCACATCAAACTTAAAGCAAATATTAATAACCGAATTTGTGTTGCAATAATAACCTTGCAATACATCTAATAGTTATCTTGACTCCAGTACTCAAATAGGCAACACATCCTATATAAATTTGCAAAAAGGCCTGCAAACCCAATATCCTTTCTCTGAAATAGACCTACACATCTGATATATTTTTTCACTCAAATAGGCCTATCCTATATTTAACTTTAACTTATTCCTTATATAAAGGGATTACAAGAAACCATCCAGAGGAATATATCTATCGCGGCCATGACATAGCAACAGCTATATAAAGCCCCACAAGACTCTTCATAATATTCTTGTACACCCTAAGGATAAAACACTTTAAAAAAGCATTGCAAAATGTGTGTATAAAACTGGATGCAAGAATTGTGACACACCATGGCAATATATAAGAGAAACTGATAGGGGATTTTTAAGTCCAACTTGGTGATCACTGTAAAAAGGGAAAGAAATTTACCCAATCAGAAGGGAAAGAAATTTACCCAATCAGAAGGGAAAGAAATTTACCCAATCAGAAGGGAAAGAAATTTACCCAATCAGAAGGAAAGAAATTTACCCAATCAATAGGGCATTTTTAAGTCAAACTTGGTGATCACTGTAAAAATGGAAAGAAATTTACCCAATCAGAAAGGGAAAGAAATTTATCCAATCAGAAGGGAAGCTGTCAGAATCCTAGATCAGTAAATTGACGACCCCATATCATGCCATACAGCAAAATCATGTTACTAACTGGGAGAATTCTAAAGTGTTGGTCAGAGAGAGCAACCTGTCAAAGTGGCAAATAAAGAAGTCATCTTGAAATGCCAAAGCAGGCCAGTTCTGAATCGAGATTAGGGGGCTCATAGTCTCAAACATCTATGACAATGTATTAGCATCTATAGCTGAACCGGTTCTCCGATTTGGTCACCATTTTACAAGTGTGCATATAAGCCAAATCATCGGCAACTTTATCATGAACTTGTACATGTTTTAAACTTTAGTGTACATATGCTTTACAGGTCAAATGTCTTCTGAATGTGCTAGAGTACATATCATATCTGTCTGTGAAACGTCACACATTAACCTTTCACTGGTTGTGCTATATGAACCTTTACAAAAGATCTCAATATACTTATAGCATACTCAAGCAGACCAGCATACTTGACAGCATATGATGATACACAGCAGATATCATAATATTCACATGTGCCAGCTACACACCTGCCAGAACTGTATACATGGTATCTAGATTATTATGTGATTTCCTGTTGAAAGGTGGTCACAGAATGATTACTTAGCAAGCTGATGTTCATAGCTAAAGTTAACTTGCAGGTCCCTTATAATTAGATAACCTTATCAGAAATTATGTATTTATTACATATTTTTGTAAAAAGAAATTATATTTTATCAACATCCTAATATCAATCTAATAGTATACAGTTTATGATTGACAACACAGAAAAATATATCCAATAACTAAAGTACAATTGACCTATTTTCTATAGTAACAAATAGCAATAGCAACAAATAGACCAACTGCTTGTGAGGAAGTGTAGTGTGGTACATATATATGTACAATCTAATCCTGGTAAGGAGAGATCAAGCATGTATACATTCACATTACGTCTGGACAAAAAATTCCAGCCACGCTTTTAACATCGAAAACAGCTGTTTTTTCGGGTAAAATGCCAAACTGGTACAAAGTACATTCATTTTCCAATCCAACCAGAATCGGTAATTCCAGAAAAATATGCATGCCCCAAATGGGTGATCCTAACAGGATTTTCACAAATATTTTTTTTAGTTTACCAATACAAAAATCATACATGGTAATGAAGATTATTGGAATTTTGGCTAAAAATGTTATTTTTCTAGCAGGTGGAAAATCTAGGAACAAAAAGGGTGGTTTGGTCTAAAATATACAAATGTGATTTTACTTGCTTTGGTTTTACCTTCTTGAAAACTTATCACTACTTGTGTATTAGATAGTACAGCTGAACATAATGGAAAGAAGTTTTCAGCTCTTAACTTTTAATGCTTGACTTATCACTACTTGTGTATTAGACAGTACAGCTGAACATAATGGAAAGAAGTTTTCAGCTCTTAACTTTTAATGCTTGATTTATCTCTACTTCAGGGCCATTTATGTAACACATTCAAATACTCGAAATACGATTGACAGAGTTGCAAAGATTCAGTGTACAAACTTAAACTCAACAGATAAAGGCAAAACCTTTAAATCAATGGACAAACAAAACGTCTAGTTCTTCACTTTATCACTACAGAGTAGCTAACAACATTTCCAAAAACCTAAATATACCAAAGATGTCCAGCTAGGTTTCATATGATTTACATACATGATATATATCATCTGTAGTAAATTAATTTATCATGTAGTATAACTTTGGTCAATATTCATTCACAGAATGTCAGAAATTGTAATAACAAACATTTTTATAAATGTTATATTACACGTAACACAATGTAACTATGACTATTTACTGTCCTATGAAAATCAAACCTAGTATCATATATGTAGTTCTAATTGTGTTGTCAGTATTTATTTTCAAAATCCTAAGAAATAATTTACACAAGCATTTTAATGATTAATGATACTCCTACATGGGTATGCATGACCTTTAACCTTCATTATCTAATAAGGCACACAACATGGTCATACACTGCCTTTCACCAACAATGCCATTAGCAAAAATATTGTTTCGGAATTGTAAAACTGAATTTGCTTTAGACGGAAAATTGTCATAACATACAGGTCTCTAGCATCTAGTATTGCAAACCATGGCCGTCCATAATTCAACAAGGAAATAACCCAAAACTCGACAAAATGGTTGGCTGTTTCAAACATAAACTTAATCAATTTTTCCAGTTTTAGTTGGATTTTACAAGAACAATAAAACTTAAATTTTAAGACTTGTTTTTAAATGATATCTGTGACAGGAAGTCAACCTACAACTTAATTAAAAACAAGACACTTGATAGTGTTCTACTTTTGTTTACTCACAGCCTCATCCCTTTCTGAGGGTTCTCCTGTTTGCTGTTGGTTCTCCTCCTCTATAGCCAACATGATGTCCATTTGTTCATTCGGGGTCATAGGGCGGCTAGGGGGCAGATCCTGGATGTCTGGTAGTACCTCAAATCCATTCATTCCGTTTTTATGTTCACTATAAATACAAAAAAAAATGTTATATGTTAATTTATATCAAAACAAGAGAAATATCCACAAATTTATTGCATCCATTCAGAAGTTTAAGATCTGTTTGATCATTATAAATGACTTCAGCTTTGGAATTTATAGATAAATTAGATACAAGTATAAAGAGATTATAATGACATTTTTAATCAGTACTATATACGTTTTGGCAATGAAAATAGTGAACTACATACTTCAAGATATATATAACAAGTGGGGGACCATTACAGAAGTCCCGGAACCCCCGCAGTTGTCTTTGCAGTGCCAAAATACATAAAAACAAAGAATATCTAAATTTCGACCAAACAGAAGCCTCCATGTGGTTGCTGTGTGGTTGCTATGACAACAAAACATATGCAGCTGAATTTGCAGTCTCCTAATACCCCTATATACCAATTTTCATCAAAATCTAACAATATCTAAATTTCAACCCATCAGAAGCCACAATATGCCAGCCATTTTGTTGACAATGTCAATTTTTTTACTCAACTTTAGAGCACGTCTTATACCGATACTTTCCCGCCAAATATAACAAAAGTTATGGCTCAAAATGCTTTAGCCAATCAGAGGCTGTGGCGGCCATCTTGGATTGTAATCGGAAAAACAGAGGCTATCAGTAATAATCCCTCAAAGTTTGGGGAAGAACTGAATTAGTTTCTGAGAAAAGTGTCGGAAACCTTTATGGCGGAAAGCGGAAGAAGATCAAGAAAGAATAATAATAATAATAAGAATCAGAGTAAAAACAATAAGTCCCCCAAACGGAGTTATACCTGTCTACCCTCTCCATGTCCGGGGACCAGCTTTTGAATTTTTACCCCAGTTGTTACTTTGACATTTAAATTCTACTTCCTAAACCTTACCTTCATATCAAAATTAAACTAGAGTATAACACAGAACATAACATAAATATGACATTTTGATATGAACATGATTTGTAACACAAGTTATTGTATAGATTTTACAGACATTTAAAATTTTGCTACACATTTTCTGCTCCACATTTTTTTTAGAAAAAATTACATGTAATAATATCACAAATAATCATGTACATTCAATTTGTTACATTTACATGTATCAAAGCAAATTGAAAATTTTGAAAGATATAATTGAAAGACCTACCCATTTACTCCATTCATGCCATTTTCCACTTTGCCTTTACTATCTTCCATGATAGTTTTACACCTTGTGAAGCCATTTGATCGAGGACTCCCTAAAGAACCATTTGATACTGAAACAGACAACAAATTTGAATTACACACAAATTGTATATGGACAGGTTTTGTTCTGGCTGTTCCTAAACATTGCTTTCAAATTAAACTAACATGCTCATCAAGTCTGTAACATGAAGTACTGACACAAACAACTTAGAGAGAACGCACATCTGTCTTCGCCTAACATACCAGTGTCGCTCATCAAGTCTATAATGTAAGGTACCGACACATACACACACATCTTAGAGAACACACACCAGTCTTCACCTAACATACCAGTGTCACTCATCAAGTCTATAATGTAAGGTACCGACACACACACACACATCTTAGAGAACACTGGGCTGACGACCATATAATTCACTATTTTGGTTGACCTTTGGCCATGGAAGGTTTCTGCAAAATTTCATTGAAATTGGTTCAGGGGTATGGGAGAAGAAGTCGAAAATGTAAATTGTTTACGGTTGCACGACAGACGACGCTGGACAAAAGCCGATTGCAATAGGTCACTTGATACTTTGTCTCAGGTGACCTAAAAACTAAAAAAATATACATTAAAAGCATTGCAATATTAAATCTTTTCCCCAAGAATTCATTCTGAATTCTGAATTTAGGACTTACATCTGGTTTTTGATCTGGTAAGCTTTGGTAGATCTCTCAATTTTAGATCACATGCTGTCGGAGTGTAATTGTTTGCTATAGATTCACTGGGTGTTCTGTGGTATTTCTGTTCTTTATAAGGAGCAGCCAATGTCCAAGATGTTCCTTTCATAATTGGCGGATGTTCACTGTTGCGAAGGACAATCTGTCAAAACATAATCACGATAACTTCTACTTAGTTTATAGCTCAGTAAAAAATAGTTCAATTTATATATTGATGCACAAAAGATTTTTTTGCTACGGTACGTCACTACGAAAAAACTGTTTGGCCAAAATGAAATACAATTTGTTGCTTACAACCTGTCTATCCCTATTTTTTAAGTTACCAACCCTAAAACATTTTTTAGCATTCTAGAAAAACTGAATAGCAGTCCTGAGTAAACTCTCTCAGCACCCAACTCGCATAAAAAAAAACATAAACGAAAAAAATATGATTATTTTATTGACTTACCAACACTGTTTTGCTTTGGCCTTATATACAAAAACTTACAGTAAGTCTGTTCATAGTACATATTTTGTATAGTAATATCAATATTCATCAAGTAAAAATAATATAATGATTTATATTATACAAAATTTTATTACGGTAATCTCTGTTCCATATCAACAATGGAAATTGAGCAAGTATCATTACAAAGGCTTATACTGACATTGTTGATGATCATCTGTTTATGTAAATTTTGCAGTTATTTCTTTTTTTATTTATTGTTAAGAACAACAACATGTAATAATCAATTACTCCAGAGTGATGTAGACAGAGAAATCCCAAACTTCTGGATATTTTTTTGTTGCTGAAGCTTTATTCTAGACCATGAATGAGAAAATGTATTGAATATACATTACCTTATAGAGATCTGAAGGTTCCTTCATTGTGGATGGTAGTGGGGGTAATCCTGGGAGTCCCCTTGTCTTACTGCAACTCTGGATTGGAGTTTCAACATACTGCAAGTACACAATGCAAGATTAATCCTTATTTGAAAGCAAGATCAGCTTTAATGGTCTTTACACTATAGAATATAACACACAGTGCAACTTGTATTCATTAAAGGATTATAATTATTTCTATTGCTGATAAGGATATATGAATAATGTTGATTACAACACAATGTAATTTTAAAACAAATGTATATACATGGCGATGCATACTCTATAAAAATGCAGTCTGATCACATGCCTTTAATTGGGCCTCAAGAAATATCAAGTTAACTAACAATGTTATTTATAACAAAACATATTTATACAGTACAGTGTCAGATTCAATAACACTTATCATATGAAATAGTATTCTTAATTTTGTCTTTTGTTCAGGTATTTTCAGATAATCAGAAGGTCTATGGGTGGCTGTTACTGACTTTTTCTACAGTTAGTATATTTGGCAAAATATGGCTTGCTCAAAAAGTTTCCATAATTACAAAAATATGTTGCTCAAAATGGTTGTCATGTATTCGAGACTAAAAAGAGCATGTTAATTGCAAATGTCGTTTGTTTTTCTTTCTTATCTTACCAGAATTTACAATTAATACCATATGTGTACATTGGTTAGGAAAGACAAAGGCTAAACCCCCGCAACAAACATGATATTGTGCAAGTGTAAAATGGTATTTGTTTACTTCTGTAACCCCGTTGAGCAGTTTACATTTTATGGCACGCATCAACTAGTTTCTGGAACACGAAGACCCAAACTGCACACCGACATCATGAACACTGCTTGGTTAATATTTAGTATTCGACTATAAAGCAAAATACAGTACAGATTTATATCGCATACTGTACCTTTGCTCTTTCCATTGCCATTTTGTACGTTCCTCAAGACGGATTAATAAATACAGGTCTCAAAGCAAAACTAGCTATATCCGATATGTCAATGTCATAGAAATTTAAGACAGTTTAGACTCCCCTGAAATAGTGTGGGAGGCTGTCTCTTTCGTCACTAGTTCGAAATTATTTCCATTGCGCCATTTCTCACACTGGATAACCAGCTATGTCCTCCATTTTCATAAGCAGCATCCGGGCAATTTAGTTGCTAGGAAAATATCGCGATTTGATTGGCAGATATTCTCTGTATGTAATACGCTTGTAAATTATTCTTTTCATTCATACGTTTGAATCGAATGTGTGTTTTGTTAATCACTGGAATGGTCATTACACGATTTATGTTTTTGTCTAATGACGCATTTTCTTTATTTGAATAATTTTGGAAATATTTTATGATGATTTTTTAGACAAAAAATTACAAAGTTTGGTCTCCAGAAATTAACATAACTGTTTATAAGTGGATTTTACGTTCGCACTGTTCTTCCAGTCGTTGTAAGTCTTCGACTTGTGAGACATTGCAAGGGAAGTAACCCTGGTTTTGCACCTGCGTTGATTAAGCTTCATTAAAAAAATAAAATGAAATTAATGCAGAAAAGCGAAAAGAAAATTCATCAGTTAACGTCCGTTTAGATATTTAGAAGAAAAGAAATTACCCACTTGCATCATTAACAATGAAATCTACTACTACCCCATGATATATTACATACTTCTGTCAAGCAGGATCTCAATCATCTTTTACACCAGAAATTTACGCTTCACCTAACAGCAATAATTCAACTAGGAATTATAGTGCTACCAATCCTTTGATGGAAATTTATTTTCTAAGAGTGTACTACTTGTCGAATAAGTATGTTAGATCAGAGACGTAATCATAGGAGAGACCGGGGTTCGGCCAATTTTTATAATAGTCGTTCAGGACAGAATGTCATTTGTTTAAAGTTATGTGTATTTTCACCATTGGGAGAGAGAAATTCCATACATTTCATAAAATTATAACAAAAGGGAAATTTTGAAGATTCAGGGATGGCTAGTAGTTCGGACAGGCAGTCAGTGGTAAGTTCGGCCCGCGTTGGAATATAGCATAATTATGACGTCATAAAGCACGCAACGTCAGAATGAGATTTCCCCGTCAATTTCACGACTTGCCATGTGTTGCATTGGTCGAACTCGCACAGGGATCATGGCTTTTGTGTATATCATCAGAAGTTGCCAGTGTTATACACGTATGACATAAATAGGTAACAATTCGGTTTCACTGCAAATTCGCAAAACTAGTCTAGCTAGAACTTGAAGATTGAAGTCTAGAGTTTTTTCTTCCCTCCAAAAAGTAGCTTTTAACATGATTTTAGAATTTAGTTTATCTCGCCATTTCATCGGGTCCAGCCAATTTGATTAAACTGCTTAGATCCTCAAAGTTGTGAATATTTCCTCAAGATCAAAAATATCAGGGGTGACCAGACTCACACCGGGGCCGAATTTGCCCCGGTCACCCTTAATTATTATGGTAAGCTTTTAAATCGAGTTAATTACGATTATGGACTGTAAACTTAATTTGTTGTATCACGGATTGCCATCTTAGTCTGTGGTTTTAGCTTGGATTTTTTTTGTAAGTAAGAGTTATTTCCCTTCTTTCATTTTATCGCGTTTAGGACCAGAGACGTGGTGGTAGGTAAATCTTGTACGCCGCTCTCGAACCCGTCACAAAACCCCGTCCCAGGAATATAGAGATATTTTAATATCTCATTAACGCGATCGTTTATATTTTTCATAATATTATACAATAATTTTAAACATTATTTCTAAATGTGACAGTTAAAAAAATGTCTATTCATTATCTAATAATTTAGAAATCGACGATAATGTGTATTTCAAGGGGGTAACTTGTACGCCGCAGTCAACCGTGAAAATAACGTTTTTTCATATATAATTAGATATGGAGTGAAAACTAACATGTTATTTTCAGATCTATAGAACAAAATACCTTACTGTTTAACTGTTTATAATTATGTAAGTTTCGTTGAAATAAAAGACCTATTTCGCATGAAATTCTGACTTTGTTGTGATCGCGGGCGAGGATCACGGGTGTTTTGTTTACTCCCGTACCCGTGCTAAGGGGACATCACTCTGTCAACAAGTAGAACTCTTCGCCATTCTATTAGAGTGTTACCAGGCTCTGCGACGAGGAAGCCCAATTATTTTTTTAAACTATATATATATAAGATTAATAATAGTTCACAAAATAAGAATTCATGAACATCATTATTGGTTATCATTAGAAAAAATGGTTATTTTTATGAACTTTAAAAAATGGTTTTATCATTGAAATAATTGTGTTCTTTTTTCAAAGGATTTTTAAGTTTACTCACTACACATTTTAACTTTTAATATGATACACATACAAATACATTAAAAAATACCAAAAATACTTCTGACTTTTATGGCTGTTTTATGAACACTTCACACTTCCAAATAAAACTATCCCTAGAAAAATGTAAATCTGACAGATCACTTACACATCTATTATGAAACCATCTGTCACAGCCAGCATCACAAGAAACCTTACCATATCATCAAATACATTTGAGATGTGACACCCATCTGATTCGCAATCCATAAAAATATCGAATGATAAAGAAGTCTTCTTTTGCCTATGCCTACTCATCTTTTTCCTAGGAAATTTTGTAAAGATTCCATTGGAAATACATTCCACAAGATGGTGTCTCATGCAAGTGGTGTCAAACTCTAACTCTTCACTCCCGTTAAACCCATTGAAACAAAATTCTACAAAGTTAGCAATAGCAAAAAAAAACCAGTCAACCCCGTTTTTCTGTTGTTGCACATTTGGTAATACTGTTTTTAAAACTTTTCTATTTTCCCCATATGATGATGACAACTGCAATTCTAAAGAACCTTCTGTTTCGTATTTCCCGCTATCAAACTATCAAGAATGTATACTTCCCCACTATCTACCTCCTGTACTGATACTATACCCAATGGTCCTCGCCTGTATGATGAATTTGTGCTGATGCAGCGCTAGTTGGTTTCATTCTGAGTGCATAGTCCCACTTATTGTTTTTTCAAATTGGAGCATAACCTGTATCTTGCATTCCGCCTTTATTAGGAAACTTTTTTTTTTTTTTTGCATATTATGCATATTTCACGGTTGACTGCGGCGTACAAGTTTTACCCCCTTGAAAACGTGGAAAAACACATTATCGTCAATTACTAAAATATTAGATTATAAAAAAAGTCCACATTTAGAAAATAATGTTTAAAATTATTGCATAATTTTATAAAAAAAAAATTACAAACGATCGCGTTAATGAGACATTAAATTATCTCTAAATTCCTGGCACGGGGTTTTGGGACGGGAGCGGAAGCGGCGTACAAGATAGAGATATGGCTTTATACGTCTCTGATCGGACCGATTTGATTTGCGTTGTTCAATTAATAAAAGGATGAATCCATTGAACTGATGTTGGTGTCTGGTGATCCTTAGTAAAGACTTTCAAAGCATACAATAACATGTGTAGGTTTGTGAGGCTTTTTCTTTGGAGTGTTGAATGAAAATAGATTCTACTGACAAGGTTATCGATATATTTTTTCAACATAAATGAGCCTTCCATAAAATACGCCAAACTTCTGCGTAGACAGAACACATCGGCCTCTGTCAATTCATTTCAAATATCCCCGTTTAATCAGTGGACAATTTCAATAAAATACCCTTTGCATATATTGAAAGATCCGGATTTTTTTATTTTTTTTTTAGAAAATGTCATCTTAATCACGCACGCGTTTCAATGCTAACAGTTTGTATTGGTTGTTTTTGACTTCGACGTTTCAGAAAATTTCAAGATGGCGAAAGGCACGCTGCCTGTTGATATGGAACTCAGGAAGGTTTGTATTCTTATTTCAACATAATGGAAGTATTTCAATATGAAATAAATCAATTTAACGTGATAAATGATGATCAGTTGTTTAAAACGATACAGATGGTCAATACTGTTTCTCAGTCGTGAATATGTCTTATGATATTTTTTCGCTGTTGTCAAGTCATTTGTTCGATTTTCACACTGACAACATCATGGTATATTTGTATGGGCTCAGCATTTTTTAAATAGATACGGTCGGAGGAAGTTTAGTCAGAATGAAATCAGAACAAAATAGAAAATATTTCCAGTGCAGAGACGGATATGACTACATTATATATCATGCCAGTGGCAAAAAATAGCTAAAACAAACAAAAAATGTATTCCTTTTTTATACAATTTGAAATCCCACCTGTCTTTCAATGAACTAGAATAGCCCTGTTGGTACCCCACACAGAGAATGGAAACAACTTGCCAGTGCAACTCCACAAAAACATGACACAAGTCAATGATTACTTTCAATAAATCAAATACTAATGGAGTCTTGTTTCTTTTCCCAAATTACTATTTTTTCATGTTCATACTTTTTACTTGAAATAGTTCTAAAAAAAAAAAGAGTTTAAAATACCTAAAAATTGCTAGCCCCTACCCCCTTTCATTTGAAGGAAATCATATAATGCTTGTCATGAGTGGTTGTGTGGATCTATTCACATTGATAACTGACATGATGCATATTATGGTATTTGACATTTGTCAATTCCTTTCAATTCCTCATTTTAGTAACACACCAAATTTCCTACACTTAAGAAATACCTTAATGAAAACATTCAGCCCACATAATGGGGTTCAAGACCTCAAGGCCCCCCTAATTAACAGTAAGATTATATCATTTTATCTAGGACAAGGTTACAGGTACTTATAGTTTTTTTTCACTATTTACAAACATGTAGTATCTTTAGTTTCGTGTTAATAAGTAGTATTCTCCAAATGGAGAGTGTAGGTCAGTAGATACTGCTGTCTCATGTAATGAATTATAATTTTTAATCTGAATAATATTGTGTTTTTTTTTATATGTATATACTAATCACATTTTCCTAAGGATCACTTTTATTTTTGGGCATATGTGAAAATAGATATTTTATTTGGTTTATACTGAGATTATTTTTGAAAAATTAAATTGTTCTTTTAGTTCATCAGCATGCAAAAAATCGTAATTATACTCGAAAAATTAGCCACAGGAAAAAGGTTACCCTTAAAATTGGTAACAACGAGGTATTCACTAAAAAACTTAAATTGAACAAAACTCATCCTAAACTGTTTTACCAGGTAGTATCGAGTGTGACGCCCATTAGCATCAATTACAGCTTCATTACAGCTTCACAACGTCTGCTCCAAATGAGATTGCGTATCCGATTTTGTGGGATAGCGTTCCACTCGGCTACCAAAGCTGTTGCCAGCTCCTGGAGCGTTCTTGGTTGAACATTTCTGGCAAAGAGAGCTGTCTGCAGCATGCCCCATGCTTGATGGGATTTACATCCGACGGGCGGGCTGGCCAGTCCATTTGTTGAATAGTCTCTTGCTGTAGATACTGCTCAGTCACCCTTGCTCTATGTGGCCTAGCATTTTAACCGTTGTCTGGTTCGTCTTTGTGCCATATTTAAACAAAAATATGCAAAGAATATTCATCAAATTGATTTCCTTAATACTTAGCCTATTTTAGCTTTTGAAAGGGGTGTACACGTGGAAAAGTGTGCACACGCTTTAATGGTTGACTGAACACAACCACACAGGATGATTTGGAAGGCTAACATATTCGCCCAAAACAGTTACACCACGATGAAAATAAGGAAAGGTATTTTTCATAAATATATATTTTTTGTGCTCCCCCAATAAACTGGTGAGCATATATATATATATATAGTATACGTCTTTGTCTGTCTGTCAGAAATGTTTGTCAGCCCAGGCCATAACTTTTGACTCGCTGAAGATAACTCATTGAAATTGGATGGATAAATGTAGGATGGTAGTGTGGTGTGTTAAACCATAACAAGAGTCAGTATGCCCAATGTCTAGGTTAGATAGAGGTCAAAGGTTTGATACATGTACTATTTCCGGGGCGTGCTATAAATTCTGACTCGCAGAAGTTAGACAGCTCAATGAAATTTTAGACACAAATGCAGGACGGAAAGTTGGTGCGTCACATACAACTTTTGGGTATGTATACCAAAGGTCAAGGTCAGATTGAGATCAAAGGTCAAATTTATTGTCTAAGCCATAACTTCTGACTCGCTAAAGTTGGTTCTGAAATATTGTAGATCTGTGCTTAAGTAGGATAACAAGGTTAAGGTATCATTAAGCTAGAAGGTCAGATTGTTTGTCCAAGGCTTGTATCATGAGGCAAATCATGAAATGTTGTATGAACAACGGTTTGTTGCATACCAATTTGGAGTTTGTTTATTGTACTCAGTAAAGTGATTTCAGAGATAACAATACAGTAGTATATGGTGCCAGACATGGTAATTAAATCTAAGGTCACAACAATGTGTAATAGCGAATATGTCCTGATACATGATGATATACATCAGATACATTTTACTAAGAACTTCTGAATTCATCTTTCTCATATTTCATATAAAGGTTCCCCTTGGTCCCAAGCTAGTTTAGCATGTTTCATTTTAAGACTGATCAGAAATAGTGGCAGCTTGGAAGCGTGGGTAGATTGCTTTATTTATGGTGGAAGCATGTTATTTTACATTACTCTCAGAGTGTTAGACAGTGTATCAGTCTTACAACACTACATTTTTGATATTTCTTTTGTTTTAGAATATGACAATGCCATTTTATAACTAACCTGCCATTTATTTGTGTAAATTGTTGCCAGTATAAACATGCTGGACTGTGGATCAAGGCTCAATTTTTTCTATTCTATTTTAGGCATTCCAGGAACTGCAGAGTAAGATGATAACAACAACACAACAAATTAAGTTGTCCAATGCACAGATCGATACTTTGAAGAGGACTGTGCAACATTCTAAATTGGTGGACCAGGAAGTCATCTCTCTTCCACCAAATACTCGCACGTACGAGGGTGTTGGCCGAATGTAAGCAATTACCAAAGTGTCAGATGTATTTTAGATATTTTATATTTGTGTTACACAATATTTTTGCAAGGAAAATAGAAGATATGTAAGCCGATTTATTTAGTAGTGATTTAATTGAAAAAATCGAAAGAATAACAAGTTACACATTTCATAGTGTATGTGAAACAATCCTGAGTTTTTATTTGGTGTAGTTTCGTTTGTATGGTTTGTCATGCATGGCTATTAATGTTGATGAGACAGATGAACAAACATCAACAGTATTATATTAATGTGTACTGTAACATACTAACAAAGTTATTCTGAAATTTATTCAGCTGGATATTTTCAATTTCTATTTCTTTAATTTTAGGTTCATTCTGCAATCAGTTCTAGATATCCAAAAGAATTTACAGCTTAAAGTGAAAGCTTCGGAAGAGAAAATGAAATCTTTAGAGGTAAAACAATGTTTATGATCAGGACTGTTAGAAATACTGTGTGTAATGTTGATTCAACCAAAATATCCTGTCATTCTTATAAAAGTTCACTGAAATGACGTTCCGGTCATTGGAATTTGTAAATTTCAAATAATGCGAGCAATTCAGTTTTCAACCTTAGTCATGTTTGCTTGATTTGCTTTGTCTCTTGAAATGATTTTCATGAAAATATGATCGAGTAATGTCAGTATTAAGGAAATGGTTTATGTTTCAAGACTTTGAGATTGAAGGTACAGCATATGTTCAAAAATCTTTTTGTTTTTTTGCAGACGAACAAAGTTTACCTGGAGAAAAATTTGAAGGAGAGCCAGAATAATTTGAGGGAACTAATAGTATCAAAACAACAATTAAGATAGACTTTGTGTAATTATTTACTTGACATTTCCTCTTCTTTTTTTATCATATTCTCCCTTTTGGGAAACATTTCTTAAATTATACTGTAAAGAATAATAAAACATTGCATTTTAACAGCAATTAAAATTTAATCCAAATTGAGTCTTTTGTTTTGAATTTTACAAACTTAATACATATACAAATGTACATGGATTTTTTTTAAATTTTACTTCAGTTGAAGACAATGTAAATTCAGCTTTGTAATATCATCATAAACCTTTGGATGTTTTGTACATTACTTTAAATGGGCAATTTAAACCTTGGGGGGGGGGGGGATAACTTACAAACTTTACAGGTATGAGAGAAATTTAATTTATTCAGTGTTCTAATAAAATAAAACTTGACATAAGCCATGCAGTTTTGTAATTACAACACAGCATGGGTCATAGATATCAATCTATTCAGAGGTTTAATTTCAAATTTACCTCTTCATGGTGCTGCCCCAATGTGTTTAACCCAACCAAATTTGGACGGCATTTATACAGACTGTAAATGCCGTGGCCCACATGTTGAAGTCATAATCATAAGTTAGATATACAACTGAACCTTCATGGAAGATGGCTGTTCTATTCATTGAACAAGCATACACAATACATACATTAATTTGAACTTCATGTCTATAATGCAGTTTATTTAGCAGATTTGACTTTCTACGATACTAAAATACATGTGCTCCTAAAATGGTATTTATAAGTAGTAAAATATGTAGATATGGCACACAGCTTTACAGGCAAACAAATAACAATGTGTAATGTTTGCCTGCAAAGCTGTGTCATTCATATAAACTATGAATGCAATATCAACACATTCCAATGCTTGATTAGAATATTAAGGGAGTTACCTGTTTTGTTTCAATATCTGGGTGATATTGGGTCACAATCAAAGTGATTAAGACATTGCGACCAACTTGTAAAGAACACATGCAAACACAGACATTTTGACCAACTTGTAATAAACTCAATCAAAGACATTGTGACAAACTTGTAACGAACTCAATCAAAGACATTGTGACCAATCGTAAAGAACACAGGCAAAGACATTTAGACATTGTGATCAACTTGTAACGAACTCGGTCAAAGACATTAATTAAGACATTGTGACCAACTTGTAACGAACTCAATCAAAAACATTGTTACCAACTTGTATTGAACACAAGCAGAGACATTGTGACAGTATTACCAACTTGTAAAGAATACAAGCAAACACATTTAGACATTGTGACCTACTTGTAATGAACACAAGCAGAGACATTGTGACCAACTTGTAAAGAACACAAGCTAACACATATAGACATTTTGACCAACTTGTAATGAACACAAGCAAACACATAAAGACATTGTGACCTTCTTGTCTTTCAAAATTCAAAACTGACAAGTTTCTGAAGCCGAGCACAATATCGACGAGGCAAACACAAGATTCATATCAAAACAACATGAACTTTAGCAGGCCTACAATGAATCTGACATTGATATTTCTGATGATTCTGACGATGATGAGGATGGTACCAGTACGGGCGATTCTGGCGACGATCAGGTAATTGAAAGTGAAAATGAAAATGGCGACGACCCATATTTAGGAAATTTGAATCGGTAATGGACTCGTATTTTGTTGGATATTGTTTTGCCGGATTTCACCGAAACTACTGGTGTAAATCACGAATTGTCGTCTGATGCAAATAATCTCCAATATTTTACACGTTTTTTGCCACAAACTTTCTTTGAAACCGTAGCAGTTGAGACGAACAGATATGCAGACCAAAAAGGCCCGGATCCAAAATGGATTCCGACGTCAGCATCTGAGGTGCGTGCCTTCATTTCTGTGAATATAATGATGGGTGTACGCTGTCTTCCAAGAATAACCAACTATTGGAGTACTGATAAACTAATCAGTTTTGAAAGTTACTTGTGTGAAAAGACTTGAAAAGGACAAAAAGCTTCAGAAACTTGTCAGTTTTGAATTTTGAAAATATTTACCTGTATCTCACCTGTGCTCGTTAACCTGTATCTCACCTTATGAGGAATATACTTGAAACTTACCTGACAATGTGGGGTTGCCAGTACATCATGGAAGTGCATTTTTGGAGGATTTAGATACAATCAAAAGTTGTTTTATGTAGGTATAAAACTAAGAACTTTAGTTGAAGATTTGTGCTAATTTACCTGATCATTTTATTACCTTACCTGAACTTATCTGAGATATATAATTAGTAACAAATGTGTCATT